TGGTAGCACGCGCCTGTAGTTCCAGCTACTTGGAAGGCTGAGGCGGAAGGATCGCCAGAGCCCAGCAGGTCAAGGTTGTAGTGGGCGACAGAGTGAGACTCCAACTCAAAAAAAATAAAAAATAAATAAAAATAAAAAATGGAGATGGAGAGAAGGAGAGAAAGAACAATGGGAACAGTGAACAGGCCAGACCCACAGAAGTGTGGCCTGAGAAAAAACCACCCCCCAGTGAAGAAGAACAGCCAGCTCTCTGTGAGAGGTCTCTCCACACCAGCCTCAGGGTGGTACTGGGTGTTTCCTTTATTACTATTTGGTCAGAAACACATCAATTAAGAATAAAGGCATCCAGGAAACCCTGATTTGTGGACACTAAATGAAGCTGCAGCCCATGTAATATTATCATAAATGTACCTGTGTGAGTTTCTGAAATGTTTCTCAGATGCATTTGAGAACAAACCAGAAAAACTTTTAAAAGCAGACTTTAATTTTTCACTCATAAGCAGTGAATTCTGCCTTTGAATAAACCTTCATTTACTAACTAGGACATCAAATAAACTTTTTTTTCTCTAAATCATGTGGGTCGCTTCACCAATGTTAAGCTGGGAGGCCTGCACCATAGTGACACTCCCAATCACTTGTTCCTATTTTGAGACAATTTCAGCCCGGAGAGTTCTGTAGCACAGCATAGCCTTCCTGTGCCCTGTTGAATTAGGTAGAGTTGCGGCCTATTCCTACCTCTCTGATAAGCATATAGCCCTGGTTCACTGCAAATATACCAAAAGAAAGCAAAAGCTACTTCATAAAGCTTTCTTTGTCTCTGAAAACATGGATGGATAGATGGATGGATGGGTGGATGGATGGATGGATGGATGGATGGATGGATGGATGAGTGGCTGGGTGAGTGGGTGGGTGGATGGATGAAAAGATGGAGGTTGAATGGATGGATGGATGGATGGATGGATGGATGGATGGATGGATGGATGGATGCATGGGTGAGTAGGTGGCTGGATGGTTGAAAAGGTAGATGGATAGATGGATGGATGGATGGCTGGATGGATGGATGGATGAAAGGATATATGAATGAACAGATGGAGATATGAATGAATTTTTTGTTAACAGAAATGAAAAATAAATTGTTTTGGTCATTGGACAATTAAGCAAATCCATATAAGCCTCAAAGGCCATACAATCAAATCTCTCAGCTTTATGAGAGATATAGCCTTGCTATAATCACACAGCCAGTGACCACACCCTGGGGACTAGAACTTGGTCTTGAGGGCAGGGCTTATTGTGTCTATACAATTCATAGCATCACTAACACCAACAAAAATTTGTGTCATGTACAAAGAAATGACAAATGTTCAAAGAAACTAAAACAATAACTTGCACAGTCCAAAAACCATCTGATGATTCAGAAGACCCTTCAGGCTCTTTCTGGGTTTCAGGGTCAACATGCAGAATATATCATTGCTTTAAAGATGAGAGGTGCAATGGCTTTTGCTGTGATGTTCAACATATAACACAGATGTTGTTAAATGGGTAGTGGCCTCCAAATTATAGCAAAGACTTTTTTAACCACCAAAATAATGAAGACTGAAATAAAAATAACACTAATTAAAAGAAAAACACAAACTTGGTCTAGTTCAGCTTCTACTGCTAGAGACCTCGGTCACTTTTTGTGATGTCAATTTTTAAATTATAAACAAGGGATAAACTTCCAGCCAACCTCCCTCTCAGATTCCCCAAATCTGTATCAAAAGTAGAGAATTTACATGAAAGGTTCTCACAAATTATAAAGGCTAAACACATGAAAGGTATTATGATTTAAATTAATTCAGAGGTAGAAAAGGTAAGTGGTAAATTTAGAAATATTTATTTTCATAAGTAACAGTGTATTAGGTAAATATTAGACTTACGTTTGAAAGCAGGATACATGGGAGCCATATTGGTTACAAGGAATGCATCATATTTAGCCTCTGGTGAAGAGCTCAGATCTAAACATTAGGAAAACAAATAAGGTACATTGCTTACCAAAAACTACATCAGTTGAAAAAAGCAATTTTCTAAAATGTCCTAAAAAGCAAGAGGTAAATGGTTCTACTCTTTTATTCCTAATCATTCCTCCTTTACACAGTATTTTCTCCTTTCCCTCTTCCTCTCTTTTCTTCACTCAATTTCCTCTCTCAAAATTTGTTTACAATGCTTTTTCTTCCTACTTAGATCCTTGTTTACTAAGTGCTATGTAAAAAAATTCTTGATTTTATTAGTACAATTTAGACTTCAAAAAATGTCATCAAGGTAATGAGAGATCATTACAGGCATCACGTATTCCTAAGAGCTCCCCCTATGGCATTATTTAAAGGACTAATGTCTGGGTGATTCACTATTTTGTTTCCAGATTCTCATTTGAGAGGTACGGTGGGCCCAGAAAGCTGGTCACTTTTTGGCCTGTCTTGGAAGGATCCAATAAAAGCTCACCTCTCTGCAATCTCTTAAGTGCCCCCTTTTGAAGAAAATCTGAGCCACTGAAATCCTAAGCACCAAGTTTCACACTCTACAATGCACACAGTTAACACCCCTCTGGAGTCACCCCAACCTGATACCCTGCGACTTACAAGGAGGAAAGAGGAACCCATAGGACATCTGCTTATCATTTTTATAGGCCAAACAATTCTGACTGAAACTCGGAGAGACACGGACATCGGGCCGTACGCAGTTGGTCAGGTGCTCAGGGATGCTGGAGACCTCGGCCTGCAGGGGAGGTAGAGGCAGAGTGACATCACTGCAATGAGAGCACCACTGCAAGGACAGCACCATGAGGACTGTGCCACCATGACAGCAATGCCACTACAAGGACATGCCACTGCAAGGACACCATGAGGAGAGAAAGGCTGAAGCCAGGTTGCTTCACTACCAACAGCCAAAACAAGAGTTCAGCTTTATCATAGCTCATATTCTGATATTCCAACTTTTTTTTAAAGTCTTTAGTTTTAAATACAGTAAGCCAATAATTTTCAAACGTATTCTTTATCAGCAGAACTCTCCTATCAAAGTCTTAACAGCAATATACCAAGCAGAAAATAAAGCAGAAATCCCACTGATGAGATAGCGAATAGGATTCCATGGAAGATAACTTATTTTATACTGTAAGGAATAATATAGACATATCCCTTCCCAAAAAAAGAGACTACATGTGTATGCACGCGTGTGTGTATACATATATGTGTAGTATGTACAAGAGCAAATACATGTGCACACAGTACAAATTAACAAGAAGCTATGCTTGGGGCAGTAGAAGTGTTCCTTACTTTTATATTAAGAAATTTAAAACATACCTCAATTGCCAAATAAAATGTTCTAATTCCTAATGTATACCAACCAAACTCATCTTCCTCAAAACTGAAATCCCAAAATAAAACTTTTATTAAAAAACAAGTCAATGCTGTGCGTGTGGCATGTGGGTAGGGAGTAGATGCGAACTCTGTACTTTCCATTCAGTCTTGCTGGGAATGAAAATTGCTCCAAAAAAATAAGATCCATTAAAACAAACAAACCTTGGTGGCTTCTGCAACTGTTGGGCACTGGCTTAAACAGAGTAAAAGAAACTCAAAGAATCATAATCTCCCTTCCATGTTTAACATTGTCCCATAAAATTATTAGAACATTGAATAAAATCTAGTTCAAAATATCTTGCAATATATCCAACATAGGATTTCTTTTATCACAAAATATCATAATATTTTCTAAGACAAAATTCTATAAAGTAAGGAATCACTGTATTAATGCAAGGAATGTAGTTAAATGAAGAATATGCAACACAATTTTCTCATGACCTGTTTGGAAATAGTGTACGATGTCCAGAGTGGCATCAGAAATATCTCACTATAGCCACTTTCAAAGTCAATATGATATAAGATATCATATCTAGTCCGATAAAGCACCGCGGGGCGTCCATAGAGCAAGTGTCTCTCTAGAAAAGAGAAACACAAACCATGTCAAACACACACAAAACTTTACATCAACTGATAAAAGAAGTATTGGAAGAGGGTCAAGTTGTCTAAAATTTGCTAGCTTACTTATTAATAATATAGCACCTTCTCCTTAATTGAATCAAGTTAGTTTTCCTAACATTTCTGTGGTTTATCTGATCACCTAAGCACACGTCAAGGTCTATAGTTGTCAAAACTATAAGTGTAAGTGTTGTATTTATGTTATTTTTTTAGTTGCAAAGAATTTATAATTCATATAGGAAGGAAACACCACTTCATAAATTCTGAAATGATTTAGCTGAATGGAAAGCAAATGGAATTGGATTTGTGTAGAATTAATTAGCTTGACACCTGAAGAGGCTGATCAGGTTAACTAATGATTTAATTAAGAGGAAGTCTCACTCTGACCATTATATGCAAACTGCAACTCCAATGTGCATTATTTCAGCATTTAAAGTAAGTGGCTTTGCCATGTGGAGGAAACTCTTTAGGTGAGAACTTAAAGGAACATGTGTAGATAAAAATAAGTGGGTGTTCAAGAGGGCCCCTTCAATACTGAAGCAGAAAGTTCATTTGTGACCCAAGATCACAGTTAAGACTCTTGAATGCAGATTCAGACCCCCAAAGTAAAGCTCTCTTCTTAGGAAAAAAAGGTCTGAGACTTTATTCTTTGAGGAAGAAGAGATGGGAAGTCAATAAGCAAATCTCATCCACACCCACAAAAATACCCAGAGCTTGAGCTACCCGTTTAGAGTAGACTAAAGTCAAAGCTTCCACAGATTCTTAGAAATCGGAGTCCCTACAGACCAAAATACTTAGAGATTGAGGCTTAAGCAATTCACAATCCCTAAGTAATCATCAAAACAACAACAAAAAATTACTGTTATTTCTACTAGAGAAAACCAGTCCTGGCAATCAGTTATTAAGTTATATATAAATGTTGCTTTAATTAAAGTTTTACTGTTCTAAGCACGGAATGGAGAAAACCCCTTCATAGACCACTTTGCAAGACCCTCCCAAGTAGAACTGCCGATCTGAGGCAAAGTGCCCGTGCCAACAACACAGACCTGCCTGGTAGCTTGGAGGCCCCAGCACTGCAGTAACAGAGAAACCTTGGGTGAGCCGCCAGATGTGGGGACCCACCCCTGGGAAGTGGAACATCATATGACAATGTTCAACACATGAAACAGAGTAAACACTTAACAGCCAGCAAATCATAACAGTAGTACTTGGGGGCAGTTAACCAAGCCAGACTTTCCTTCAAAATTCAAACCAAACCTTTTTTAGGTTCAAAGTTTCCATTAATGTTTTCCTTGTTTTCATTTTTGCTGCCTCTGTATTTCCTTGTTTCAGCTGGAAGCAGAGGTATCAAAATTCTTTGAGAAGCAATTCTCATTTTTATTATTCAGGTTTTCATGCTTACCCAATGCAGTTCTCGAAACTCACGTTCAAGTTTAGCATCTGATCTATTCCATAAGGGGATGACACAATAGCAGCCATGATTCTACCCACAACACCCCCCCCAGCGCAGTCTCCAACTGGGGTCATGGACAACCCACAGGCCCCACTAACTGCAATCCCTCCTCCAACTCTCCCCTCCTGGCATCCTCAATGAACCCCACCCGATGAGGCAGATGCCTCTGCGATGCTCTGCTCCCCATTAGCAACTCTGCACTATTATGCACATATTTCCTTTCTCTCCATCAGGAATTGCTTCTCATCTTTTCACCAGTTCTGTCATCTACCTACTTCCAAGTTTTCCATCAATGTACTCCCCCTCCCCATCATCAGTCTCTGACAGAGCACCTTCCTTATACCAGGCCTGGGCTGTCAGATGGAGAGACTGGGTAAAGACGATGAGGACAGGGCTCTCACTCTCACAGAGCTGCCAGTCCAGTGGGAGAAACAGACTCAGCACAAGTAATGAGGTGCATTGTGGTGTGCCCTGTATCAATCACAGCAGCATAGTGTGATGGCGACACAGAGAAGGGTGAACACCACAGACAGGGTGGAGGTGGCAGCAGTCAAGATCTTCATGGAGCATCTGAGGGTAAACAAGGACAACCCCTCCTCCCAGTTTATGCCTGTTGCCCTGGTGTAACTGTTAACAGTATTCCTTTCACACTCAAGAGTGCATGACAAATGATGAGGTCACACAGTCCTGCTCTTATGGGAGAAACACAGGAGAAGTGAGGGGGGCCCAGAGAGCAGAGATATCTGAAGATACACCTTTTTCTGAAAGGTCCCTATCCTAGTGTCTTCATCTTTCCTCACTCTTCTGCTCTACATAGACAGACTCAGCGTGTTTCAGAAGTGTGGGCTTCACAGCTCCCAAACTACTGTCACTACTATAGTGTTGGCATAAACACAACATGGTATCATCTCACTGACTTGTTCACAATTGTTCCAGGCATAAATGGCATAGAAGAAAAAATGTGGTTCTGACAGCCTCTTAAAAGCCATCCAAGGTCTCCAGTGACCCCAAGAAACCTACTTGGGTCTTCCTAAAGTTTCATAGTTTCATCTAAGAAACAGAAATCATTTTTACAGTAAGAAACACATATTTTTTAAGAAAAGAAACACATACTTTAAGATCCAGAATCAAAATTTAGGTTGCATGTTTTCAGTTTATGAAACAATCCAAGAATCACAAGTTCTCAGTCATAGCCTGACTCCACTAGTCTTCATGACATCTTAGGGAGCCACACCTTGCACTTCTGTTCAGCAAAAATGTCCCTACTCATTCCCTACTAAGTACCAAATGAACTCAAACCTCGATCTTTGTACATGTCAAGGTCTTTCCCCTGAGACCAGCCACCCCTAAAGCCTCTGCTCTCCAATGTGCTCCCAGGCATCCTGGCTGTGGATCCAGGGCGGCTGTCTCCCTGGCTGGGTTTCTGTCATGGGATCCCAGACACAGACTTTCCTCCACAGCCAGTTCCTTGTTGACAATAGCATCTCTGGCATCGCTGGTGCACACCAAGGTTTCCCTCCAGACACCGCATCTGGCAGAACACCCGAGGCAGCCTTTTGAAGTGGGTGGATGTCCCCGGCACGCCTCCTTTTTGTCTTCCAAAATCCGCTCATACAGCCTGAGTTTGTGTTTCTCTTCCCTCCTCAGCTTCCTGATTCATATTCCCAAAGATTCGCTGGCTGGCTCGGGAGCCACATGAAAACCTCCCCTCTTTCTTGTGTTTTTACAACGCTCACTCCCACAATAACATGCCCTTAAATTTTACCACAAAATCTCTACCAAGGTCTTTCCTCTTCCTGCCTCCTTCCTCTCCCATTGCCACACAAGTGCCTGTGATCATCCACTGCTGTCCCAGCCTTCTCTGGAATCTGACTTGGGGCCTTTGTCAGGGCTCTGCTCTTTCTGACCTTGGTCCTTGAGGTCATGCTATGAGTCGTGAGCTGGCCAGGTCCTGCTGCAGAATATAGCTTGATGAGAACAGGCACTTGTCTGTTCATTCTCACTGTCTCCACCATCCCCAACAAGGCCAATTACATAACATATGTTTGGTAAGTACTTGATAAAGTAATTTTTTTAAATATTGGCTTTCTCCATTTGACTTGCCTCACATGGCCCTGAGAGAGAGATGGGGCAGATCGGCGCATTTCCATGTCACTGATGAAGGAGCAGGAGGCTTATGATTTGTACAAGACCATCCAGCTACCCTGTGGCACAGAACTGAGGCCTCTAGGGGTCTCTGGGAGGACATTGATGACTGGGCTATTCTAACGAGGCATAAGGGGATGCAGCGCCAAGTTCTCCTGGACAAGAACTCTGCCACGTGATGCCATGGAGAGGCAGCGAGGACAGCAGCAATGCCAAGTCATCTGGATTCCAGAGGTGGCCTCCAGACCCCACTACACAGAAGCCCTCTCTTGATATTCTCTTTGTTCCAAACCTTAGCATAAGAAGCCTTTTTCATGGAAAGCACATGGGACATAGAATCATATAAAACCAAAGTCAAATCTCAGCTCTTTTAAAGCTCTGCAATTCTGTGACTTCACCTTCCAAAGCTCTACAGCTTCCTGGGACATTGTCCTATTTACAGACGAATCATGTAACCCACCTAGTTCAGTCCTGACTCAAAGTCACTGCAGTTGTCGTCATTGTAGCTGTCGTGGTTAGTAAAGGGTGTATGCTCTACTCAATCCCGGGAAGAAATATTGGCAGGTAAAGGCTATTAAAATTCAGTCTAAGCCGGGTTCTGTGGCTCAGCCTGTAATCCCGTGCTTTGGGAGGCTGAGATGAGTGGATTGCCTAAGCCTGTGGGTTCGAGACCCACCTGGGCAACTTGGCGAGACCTCATCTCTACAGTAAATCAAAAAATCAGCTGGGCGTAGTAGCACACGCCTGTAGTTCCAGCTACTTGGAAGGCTGAGGCGGAAGGATCGTCAGAGCCCAGCAGGTCGAGGCTGAGGTGGACGGGAGCGGCACTGCACTCCAGTCTGGGCAACAGAGTGAGACTTCAACTCAAAAAAAAATAAAATAAAATTTCAGTCTACCATCCAGTTCATCCTGAACCCTACTACCAGTCACAAATGATTATACTCTGCATTGATATCTTCCAAGTCTTCCCCAAAGCACCCACAAAGACATGTATACAAAGAAACATGAATTTATCTCCTTTCTTTACTACAACTAATGTCTCCAAACAAATAATGAGAAACATTTTGGAATTGAAAGAACAACAGTGGAGACACTCTCCAGCCATATTCAGAACTCTGTTCTAAAACTGAAAATTATTAAAGTATACAAGTGATTCTTCCACTCAAACTAATCTCTTATTGTGGATGATAAGAAACCAAACATACAGATGTATTAAAATTATTTTTAATTCATTTTCTTCTAAAAGAGGACAGTGAGTGCTAACCTAAGAAAACAGAAAACATTTTATAGCATTGTAAATAGAAAAAAGACTAAGGTGGAAATTAATGCTGCAATCATTCTTACAGTGAAAATTGTACTTAGCTATCATGCCAGAATTGCTTGCTATGAGAGATTTAAATTTTTTTCAATCATTCATTCATTCATTGATTCAATGTCATGGGGAAATGAGTTTTCATTGCACAGTAAGTCTCCCAAGACATTAGGTGATCCAGAAATAACAGTCATGCAATCACAGGAAATTACAACAGCACATGCAACCATTACAAGCAAGGTGTGCACAGCATATGATATTTTCTGAAAATGCCAACTACTGACATCTGTGTTTAGAAAAGCTAATAATAAAACTAGTACAACTTTATATTTGTATAGAACTTTAGGCTTACAAGCTGCTTTAAAAGTGTCAATATATCTTCCAAGGTGTTCAGAAAGAGGAAGTGAGTACTTTGAGCATGACACATGCGTGTGCTCACATAAATGTTGATTCACACTCACGAGGTCTACTCTAGTGCAGCAGTCTCCAACCTTTTTGGCATCAAGGCCTGGTTTCATGGAAGAAAATTTTTCCACAGATGGGGAGAGGGATCATCATAAGAAGCACGCAACCTAAAGCCCTCATGTGTGCAATTCAGAATAGGGTTAATGCTCCTATGACAATCTAATGCCTCCTCTGATCTGACAGGAGGCAGAGCTCTGATCACTCACTGTTCACCTCCTGTTGGATGGCTACCATCTGTGGCCCAGGGGTTGGTGACCTCTGCTTTAGCAGATTCATGCTCACAAGGTCTACTCTGGTGGATTCACACTCACAGAGTCTACTCCAGTGAATTCACGTTCACGGGGTCTACACTGGCAGATTCATGCTCATAGGGTCTACTCTGGAGGATTCATGCTCACAGGATCTACTCTGGTGGATGCATGCTCCCAGGGTCTACACTGGCAGATTCAGATTCACAGGGTCTGCCTGGAAGGTTCACGTTCACAAGGTCTACTCTGGCAGACTCACGTTCACAGGATCTACTCTGGTGGATTCACTCTCACAGGGTCTACTCTGGCAGATTCACACTCAGAGAATCTACTCTGGTGGATTCATGCTCACAGGGTCTACTCTGGTGGATTCATGCTCATATGGTCTACTCTGGAGGATTCATGCTCAGAGGATCTGCTCTGGTGGATTCATACTCACAGGGTCTACTCTGGTGAATTCACACTCACAAGGTCTACTCTGGCAGGTTTCTGCTCACAGAATCTACTCCAGTGGATTCACATTCACAGGGTCTACTCTGGTGAATTCATGCTCACAGGGTCTATTCTGGCAGATTCGTGCTTACAGGGTCTACTCTAGGGGACTCACTCTCACAGAGTCTATTCTAGCAAATTCACGATCACAGGGTTTACTCTGGCAGAGCAGAGGAGACGTGATGTCACCAGCTACAGTTCCTTCCAGCCCTGACACCCAGCGACTCACTCAGAAGATGCCTCTTCTATTATGCTCGGAAAGTTGAGGTTACTATTTATGCTGCCTGTGAGAGTGATTTTGTCATAGGAGGACAAAATCACTCTCGCTAATCACTGTCGCTAACGAGACAAAATCACTGTCGCTAACGAGTCAAATGCAGGGATGTTTTTCTCAGGCAGAAATGTTTTAATACCATGAATATCCAAAGTTTAAGTCAGCAAAAACATGGGAGTCCAATAAAAGTTATAATGAATAAATTCACGGTGACTTTTAGAAGAGGAGCATCTGTGTGCCAGTTCTCTGGTGATAGAATGACTCAAGAAACTTGAATCATGAGACACCCCACCCTTTGACTTTGCCAACATGTCAGCTTTTCTTATAACCATACTATAGTCAACCAGAAGTTAGGTGTCACACGTTTAAATTCCTTGTAGACTTTGTAAAGGACTCGGGTACCTGCCACCACAGAGGCCCATCTTTCAAGTTAGACAGAACCTATTAGACGCCAACTAGTCTGTGAGTTCTAGATCAAAGGGAGGAGAGACAGTGGTGCAGAAAACAAAGAAGGGGTCAGATGATCTTTATGAAGAGGAAAAATAAGTCCAATAAATAAGATCTACTGGTTTCCTCAACTCTGCCTTATCAAATTGGAAGCTACACACATGATGACCAGACCCTGTGTGAGCTGACAACTCAAGAGAGACTCTCAGGAGAAGTTAGCCATGCTCATCTCTGTGGCCGGTGTAGAGCTGGAGCTAGAATTCTCCCCCTTTGTTGACACAGTGTTAGTCATTTCCTTACTGTCATGATATACCATCCCATCCACTGGAGTGACCTGCCTTTCCCTCCTCTTCCATGTTTCAATTTTCCAGAATTTCAAAATCAGAAGGAAGCGCCTGTGTCATAAATCATATGATTGTTCCTGGCTATTTCGCCCCCACCCCTGCCACATAATTGCAAGATTGAGGCTTTGTGGAAACATAAGTCTCCCTGTACCACTGGTCTCTTGGGCTCTGGCTCAGCTGGTGCACCACGAACAGATGTGGCACATGGCTTGTCAATCAGAAGTATAGAGACCCAGGGTACAGGTATGCTCTTCCTTCTTTTCCTCTGCCTCCTGCCCCCTGGACTCCAGAACAAAGGGCACATGTGGGACAGAGCTGCCCTGGCCTCCAGACAGCATTCTAAAGTGTGAGTAAAAAACACATCCACGAGTCACTGAGGTTCTCTGTTTCTGTCATATCACCTGCTTACAAGGAACACGAACACGTGCTTGTCACCATGGTACATAAGCTGAGGGGAGGGTATGTGGGGTCTTCAGATGGTCCTTTGTGTGGAGAGGGACTCGAATGATTCCTCTGTGGGTCTCTCCCTACTACAACTCACACAGGGCTTCTCCAGGAGGTAAGCTCAGGACAGGGACCAGTTGCTACCATTTACAACAGGGACTGTTACTCCTCTTCATAAAAGTAGTGTCCACAGCACCTGAACTGATGACCCATCAGACACACAACAGATGTCTTTTTCTTAGAGAACTTGAAAGCTATAGAGGGAAAAATATCTCATGGTATTTCTTTTATTACACAGCTGGCATCTTGTACACACAGAGTAAACCAGTACCCTTTGCCAGGTAGATATAAAAGTCACTCTGTGATACAAATTTGAATTTCAAAAAAATATTTTGTTGACACTACAAAGTAAACAAGAAGTCTCTTCACTTCTGAAAAACTAGAAAAGACATATGCAATTGCTTTTCCAGTCGCTGCTTACCTTCTGTAGACCCTTTTGTGTGAAGACGTTTGTTGAGTTCATCCAGTTTGTTCTTCATGTGTGAAAACCAGTAAAGGAGAAAAGAAAGCAAATCAGAAATGTTCTCTTTCCAGCACTTTCTTTCTGCTTAGCACCCTGCTAAATTCAAAAGGATCCCAAATGTCATCACTATCATTAACTCTTTAGAGAAATTACTATTTTATCTCAAATTGATACTCTAGGCTTCACTTTCCAGTGGCTTTCTGTCCATAAGCCACCTCTTTAATTTCTCCAGGACTCAGTTTCCACGGCGAATCACAATACCAGTGTTCCATGTTGGGAATGATGATTATTTGGGCACATATATGTAAATTAATTAAAACAGTACCTCAGTATTTTAGATGAATCCCTTGGTACACTTAAGTGATTCCCAGACTAATTTATGAAATCACTTTTTCCAGAGCTAAGAAGCGATGACCCAGCAATTCTGAAAAGTAATGACTCAACAACTCTACCCTGTAGCTACGTATCCAAGACTCTAGCTTATGCACACAAGAAGACATTTGCAATGATATCTGTTGCAGCACCACTCCTAAGAGCTAACATTTGGGAATTACCAAATGTTCACATACAGGAAAATAAAATTATCATGGTATATATATTTATATAGTTAAATATGAACTACTGTGTTAGCAGTAAAAATGAATGAGCTTCATGTACCATATGTATAAATCTAAAAAACATAGCAATGCATGAGATAATTACAGTATACATATGGCATGAGAGCATTTATGCTAAAATTTATAATATGCAAAACTATACTGTAGGTTATTTTAGGAAATAATACTAGAGATTACTTAATATACTACTTAAGAGAGAGACAGGTGTGGAGTACAAGGACAGGGACACGAATAGGTATTAGACACACTATGTTCAGGGCACCAGGTGCCTCTGGTAGGAAAGACATGGGTAAAGGGATGCAGGAAGCCCCAGGATCCACAATGCTTTCTTATGCTGTGCGTACCAAGATATTCATTTCACTAATTTCTTTTTTTTTTTTTTTTTTTGAGTTGGAGTCTCACTGTCACCCAGACTGGAGTGCAGTGGCCGCTCTCAGCCACCATAGCCTCGACCTGCTGGGCTCCCGTAATCCTTCCGCCTCAGCCATCCAAGTAGCCAGATTACAGGCATGCGCTACCATGCCCGGCTGATTTTTTGATTTATTGTAGAGATGAGGTCTCGCTGCCCAGGCGGGTCTCGAACCCGCGGTCTCAGGCAATCCTCAGCCTCCCAAAGGCACGGGATTACAGGCTGAGCCACCGAGCCCAGCTTCATTTCACTAATTTCTATACCTTTCTAGTATGCCTGAATATTTTTTTAAGAAAAGGAAGGTAATCTTTTGGAAAAGTCCATAAACAAAATAAAGACAACCCAGAATTTCTCTGAAATAGTTTAAGATGAAATATCGCAATGATTTCTTGTCCTCTAGAAGAAAGGCAATTTAGAAATTAGATGTAGGATAGCTGTGGGTTTCTCTAAAGTCCTGCTTGGGACCCACTTCCCGAGACCACGTCCTGTTGACTTTGACAGCTCAACTCCTGAGTTAGCCCCCTGGTTCTTGTCGGGAGCAGAAGCAGGAAGGAGCACACAGGGGAGTTAGGAGAAGGACAAGTTGCACTATTCTAGGGAGCCCCCCAATGGTGGTCCAGACCCTGGGAGTCCTGGGGGCAGCAAGTTGTAGAGGAAGAAAATGCAATAGTTGGATAGTGATCTTCCATCTTTCTGAGGTTTACTAGAAAAATCACGTTTACCCATAATAAAACGACACGTAAAAAATATCAGATGTCCTCGATTTGGGCTGGCATCACATCAGTTTGAATGGCAACTGGCTAGTTCCTGCTGTTGGAAGCATGACTGGCAGCTGGAAAGGTCTTAGATCAATATAAAATTCAGTAAGGAAGTTGTTGCCTCATGTTTAGTTTGTTTGGTATTCAAAAATGATCCAGACGCATTGCACAGGGTAGTCTCTGTTTGCATGAGCACCCCTTTCCTAGTGAACCCTTCTGTCTCACCCTTCTGTGTCCTTGAGGATCTCTAGGGACCACAGAGAGCAAACTGGCTTTATGGCTTACTGGTGGGCTCCACCCCTGGGAGACACCTGTAGAAGAGCACCAAGACAGAGCCAGGGTATGGATCCCCCATTCTCTACCTACCAGGTGACAGCACTTGAGCTACACTCGCCTACAGAACTCAAAAGCTCCTTCCTCCAGCTCCTTTTGCACTCTGATCACTTGTTCCCTCCCTATCCCCATTGTTCTCTGACCTCTAGTTCCTGCCTGGCCTTTGTAAATGGCGCCCTCATGAAACAGGATGGAAGCAATGCCTTTACACTCCCTTTCAAAACCTCTTCTGCATGGGCCACCTGTTTCCTATTGGGACCATGGATCCACAGTAGAAAGGAACAGAAAAAGGCTTCAGCTGGGAACTGTGACTCCACAGAATATCACAAATTCTCCTTTTTGCCCTTTCTGTTCTATATCTCTGCTATTCAATGTGGTAGCCACAAGCCACCTACAGTTCTTTAAATTTAAAGTAAGTTTAAAACATTGGTTCCTCAATCACACCAGCCAATGTTTACCACTGTGCACAGCACAAATACAGACCATTTCCATCATCCCAGAAAGTTCTACTGTACAGTTTTATTTTCCACCCAACAAGCTCTTCCATGATAAATGTAAAGATTATTTCTACCTTTGGCTCTACCTTATCATCACAGGTGCAGCCCAGGTCAAAATCGGACTGGAGGTACATGATCCCTGGATAGCTGGGTCTGGTGACTTCCTCAGGCATGGTTGGCCTGAAGGTATTTGTGCGCAGGAGGTGATTCAGGCTTCCATGGGTCCCATTATTAGAAGCCGGCTTCAATCCCAGGAGATCTGACAAAAAATGAGAAAAGGAAGCAGGTGTTTTCTAAATTTTTCTGATGAGATATCATAGAAATCAAAACCTTTTACCTTCCAGTGGTCTACAAACTCTGAATACAAGTCAGAACTGGATAAAACCACATTTAGATGGCAGGCACCCCCTCCACTTCCCAGACTGCAATGGTCTGATCATGTCTTGCTACTGTTTTATGAAATAGCCATGTCTGTTGCTTGACCATGAATTAGGACGTTCCCAATAGGAGAGAGTAAAGAACAGGACCTCATTAGATGTTGCCCATGGCTGTGAGAGTTACAATTCCAGGACCTTCCATGTCAGCCTTGCTGTCTTTCTGCATGGCTCAGAGACTTTTAATCCCGAATTTTGAAGTGAGCCCTATGATCAGTAAATGGCCACGAGCGTGCCCTCTAATGCACTCTGTGGAGGTGTGAGGACCTGAGGGAGCTGGGCCCTGTGGCCTGAGTGCTGCAGAGAGATGAACAGCCTGATTTCATGGCAAGTGGACGGAAGCCAAGTGGGTGTGCAGCAATCGCCTGAGCTCCAAGGCAGAATGGGGAAGCCAGTCGCCAAGATGGGAAAAGAACCCAGGAGACCTGACGCGCAGGCTCCCCCCTGACCGCCAGACTGGCACTCCCTTGCTAAATAGGAAAAGCTGTCCTCATTCAGCAACTAGAGGCTCAAGGAAGAAAAATAATTAGGAGCACATAAATAGCCGGCTGGGATGCCAGCTGGCAAAGTGTTCGCTGGCAGCATCACAAGAGATGGCGGCGGAGCAGGCCGCACAGAACTCTTGCTCCACCAGGGCTCTGACCAGTGGCATCAGCCTGGAACTCAGGTCAGCCCGGCCGGGGTTGCCAACAGCAACACCATGCAAACGCCCCATAAGTCAACTGTTGAGGGAAGACAAAGAGGCCTTAGAAGGAAAGACGTTCTGTCCTTTGAACCCATGGGCAAGTCACAACATGTTTGGGGGTGGGGAGAGGTGGTCTCAGGAAGCAGACACCTCACTTCTTTCTCTGACACTCAGGAAGTTCATATATTCACTAAAGATTGTCTCATTGGTCATGACTAAATAAGTGACTTACCACACATAACATTGTAAAGTTCAATGTTTTCAAATGGAGGTACTTTAGTCTTGTACTTAAATGTTGGGCCATAACCTACAAAAACAGTCTTCCAAAAGAAAAGAAAACAAAAACAATTACACATTACCCAGTGACAGCCCCCCCTCTAAGAAGACTGTGCAGCCTACTCACACCATTGTTCCCCCCTCCCACCATCACTCAAACACACCTTCAGCTCCCAGCTCTGTGGTCATACCTGCATGCTGTTGACCTTGTTATCAAATCCGTGGTCTCCCTGGAAAAAACACTTTCCTGATGGTTTCTTATAAACATCCAAAGGTTTCCTACATCCAAACAATTTTATGATCGGTCAGGATTTCTCATAAATTCCCTCTGATAAAAAGCTAATTTCAGGGCCAAAGAATCTCCAAGAAAGGGCTTTTGAAAGCCTCATTGTCTCTATTTCAATTGCATCACTCCTGTGGTGATGAGATGATGATTCTGTTAATCTCTGAGGGCCTTTGCCTCGCCAGTCACCCTGGGAGAAAGGGAACCTGTGAACAGGAGTCCTGGTGTCTCCCTGCAGCCCACATCCCAGTGAGCAGGGCACATGTGTGTTCGGCCTGTTCATGTACTTCCTGCCACCAAGACTGTGAGACCCTTAATGCTAGGGTCACGTGTGTCTGGTTCAGTCCATACACTCCAACCTAGTCTCAGGGCCAAGACACAGGTACCCCTTAAACATGTGCTGCTTGATTGACAAAGGAAGGCCTGTATTCTATCAAGCTGTGTGTGTACAAATTTATCTATCTGTAGAATACAACTAGAGTACAACTGAATGGTCAACTTACCAGTAATGGTGATGTAACCAACAAAAGTCTGGCCCTTCCTAGACAGCATATCCATTAAAAACAGAAAATAGAACATTGCTCTCTATACATCAAGACCATTTGACCTGTCCTGTTGTGTCAGAAAAACACTTTTTGCAAAAGTGTCATGTGGCCCTTTTCAAAAACCATTCAGGTCTACTTAATCCAAATATCTCCTAAGGACCTACAAGGTGCCTAGCACTGAAATCAAGTGCTTAGAGAAAACTAAGAAATCTACCATATGGGTCTCTACCCCAAGGAAAAAGAAATGTGCTTATAATGACTCAACAGTGAGAGTTAAATTTAAAAGATTTACTGCTAACTAACCTGCCTGGTTTTGGTTTACACTAATTTTCTCAGCTGTCATCATCCTTCCCTCAACTTCTTCCTGTGAACCTACCAACTGCACTGAGCGACTCTCTGTCAAGTTACCCAGACAACAAAGATCCTAAGAAAACACACTCAGTCACCTCACTCCAGTCACACTTCTTTAACTTTTGCACAGGGAGTCCTCATGACTATTCTAAACGAGTCCATAATTTCTGTTCTTCACATGTCCTTCTTCCTAGTCGGGCTCGGTGGCTCAGCCTGTAATCCCACGCTTTGGGAGGCTGAGGTGAGTGGATTGCCTGAGCCCGCGGGTGCAAGACCCACCTGAGCAACTTGGCGAGACCTCATCTCTACAATAAATCAAAAAAATTAGCCGGGTGTGGTAGCGCGCACCTGTAGTTCCAACTACTTGAAAGGCTGAGGCGGAAGGATCGCAGGAGCCTGGCAGGTCGAGACTGCAGTGGCCGGGAGTGGTCACTGCCCTCCAGTCTGGGTGACAGAGTGAGACTCCAACTCAAAAAAAAAACCAAAAACAAAAAAACACATATCCTTCTTCCTGATCCCACATACTTAACTCCAAGTAGCCTCTGTAAAATCACTGTAGGCCATTTGTGTACTTGGTACACATGTTTCAAGTGTGCCATATTGATACAAGTTTTCAGGGGGCCAACATTTTCTTGTTAACTTCTCTTCTCTCTCTTGTAAACTAGTTAGAATACCTAGCTAGAGGCATGCAATCATTGTTCAGTTCTTGCTGCAGACTGACTCACAGCACTTTCATTAGGGAGGAGGCTGCAGCTAGAGTGAGTGGGAAAGGGCTGCTTCCAGGCCTGTGTGAAAACGGATAAACCTTTCATAACTAACTTTGGAAGTAGTCAGAGCCTCTGGACATGTCCTGCCCCAGACTCAAAAGCCAGGAACAGTCTCTTCAACATTGAGAGTGTCTGTAGTTCAGAAGAAGGCAAACATCGGGAATATCTAAAGCAATGTAGAGGCATGTTCTGTGGTCAGAGTCTATATAACAAAGCCTCATAAACAGAGAACACAGCAGCCCGGTATGCCCAGGCAAGGTCTCAATTACACTTTTAACTTAAATAATGACAACAGACATTAGAATGTAAACCCAAACAATGAAAGTGACATGCAGAGATGCACAAACAATGAAAGTGACATACAGAGATGCACTGAGGGATATCACAGTGCTGGGACCCAGAGCATAGTGATGCGTTAGTCTCAGCACTCATTGTTTATCAACTCACAGAATCTTTGGAAACGGCAAGATTTCCAACTGAGATTTCTTTAACTGATGACTGAGGACCTTACAATATTCCCAGTTGCCAAAGAGGCAGTTGTGAGGATGAGACACCAATACCTTGCCACATGCCACCTGCGCTCCACCAGTAAATGTATGTCTTCAATCCTCCGGTTGTTGGCGTAGTGCAAGCGTTTGGGGAGGTGCTGCTTCAGATAAGGCTTGAAGTGCTGGTCTGGCTTTTTACACTGAAACAGAAATGGAATTTGGGCTTTGAATGGAATGTGTTCTAGAACACCCCTCCCCGGAAAGCTGAAGGAGGTTTTAAGCTATACAGAAGGCTGGTGAGTGGACACGTGGAAATTGTGGCTCCCTCTCAAATAATGCAAGTAAGATGAAACAGCAGGCTACCAGAGGAGAGTCAGGAATGTTAAGATGCATTCCTGACATGTGAGGCCATTGCTAAGAGTCATGCAAACTCCAAAGCCTCTCCCCCCTGCTTCTAGTTGAGGGATGGGAGAGAATATGACTCAGGCCCAGCTGAGGACACGCTCACAGCTTCTGTGGTCTCTACCCTGTACTCAGGAACAATGGAATAGGGTGGGTGGGTAGATCTGGTTCAAGAGAGTGAAGTCGTGTTCAATCATGTGTGGATGCTCTTCAGTTCTGCAGGATGGAGCCAATAGTCATTGTCACTGCTGAGGCCACAAGGGAGCCTGCAGAAGCCACAGGCCAGAGCTCTAAAACCTTTTGGAGACACAGATATCAGGATGGGGGGGTGTGCAATGTGGAGGGGCACGCGGGAGGGCAGAGGCTGGCACTCGCGACACTCACCGTGAGGTTAGCAATGATGGCTTTAGGGTCATCTGTCCAAAGAGAAGAGAAAGACTTCAGGAGAAACAGCAATCAGTGAGGGAAGCCACTTTCACAGCAAGATGCTCAGTGCTGCCTCCCTCCACCCCCAGGACTAACACGCCGTGTTTGGCTTTAAAAGCCAAGTAACTGTGAGTGGACGTGTTGCATCTCAGTGGATGAAATGTGGCATAGCACATGGGACAAACCCCTCAGTGAGTTTAGCAGGCCTCGTGGCTAGGGCAGGGTCTCCTCTCCTGAAGGCTGCACCTCCCTCCATGGCAGCAGGTACTGTGGGGTTAGCTCTTTCTCCAAGTCCCCGACGGTTCCCTGGAGACTTACTTTACTTGCAGGTAAACATCAAGACTGAACTGAGCTTTTGGGGTTTTTCATGTAACCTACTGATCTGCAGATCTTGGAGCAAGGTACCCCTACTTTGAAATGAACATTCTAATGCTCTGAGTTATCTTCTAAAGTGATTTTTCCTTCCTCAGCAACGTCCTGGGTCTGATGATACAGGTGGCGGCTCTTCTGCAGCCACAGACACAAGTGTGCAGCAATAGACATGCATGTGCACACTGCCTTCCTTCCCACCAACCACAGAGAACAGACACTTGAGTCAACGCTCTGAACTGGCTAAATGCAAATCTATGCACAGGAGGGCCCTGCATGAGCTATGGCAGGACTGCATGATGGAAGGTCCCTTTTGGGGTGTGTGTAGGAAGGAAGAGGAGATTATAGGTGGTTAGGATTTTGTTTTGTTTTCAAAAGCTTTGCTTCACTGTGTGATTACAGAATGACAGAGAAGGAAAGCCATACTCACTGGCTGCTATATCCTGCCCCCAGGGGCATAGGGGCACTTGATACACATTTGTTAACACATATTAATGGGTATTTTATTGCACTGGTTAAAAATATATAAATTAGCTTGCCTTGGGTGTAAATATACATGCTTCAAAGACTGTTTTCAGAATCCTAGCTCCAAGGCTAGAAATCCAAAACTAAAATGTGGATTCCATTAGGCTAAATTTTTAATTGCATCTTTTACTGGATAGCAAGTAAGTAATAATGGTACCAGTAACAGTTAACACAAATTCAGTGCACCGTGCGCCTGTCTTTCTAGAAGAACTGAGCAAGTTCATGTCACATGCCTTCCTCTCTGGAAGAACTGAGTAAGTCCAAGTCACGTGCCTGTCTCTATAGAATAACTGAGTCCACATCATGTGCTTATCTCTCTAGAAGAACTGAGTTCAAGTCACATGCCTGTCTTTCTAAAACTGAGTCCGCACCAAGTGCCTGCCTCTCTAGAATTAAGTGAGCCCATGCTGTGTGACTACCTCTCTAGAAGAACTGAGTAAGTACACCTGTGTCTTTCTAGAACTGAGAGTCCACACTATGTGCCTGTCTCTCTAAAACTAAGTCCATGTCAAGTGTCTGTCTCTCTAAAAGAACTGAATGAGTCCACACCGTGTATCTGTCTCTCTAGAACTGAGTCCAAGTCATGTGCTTGTCTCTCTAGAAGAAGCCTGTGAGTCCATGTCATGTGCTTGTCTCTCTAGAACTAAGTCTATGCCATGTCCCTGTCTCTCTAAAAGAATTGAATCCATGCCATGTACCTGTTTCTCTAGAAGAACTGAGTGAGTCTATACCATGTGCTTGTCTTTCTAGAATGGAGTGAGTCCTGTCTTTCTAGAACTGAGTGAGTCCACGTAATGTGTCTGTCTCTCTAGAAGAACTGGGTGAGTCCATGCAGTGCATCTGTCTCTCTAGAAGAACTCAGTGAGTCCACACAACTTGCCTGTCTCTCTAGAAGTGAGTCCACACCATGTGTCTGTCTCTCTAGAACTAAGTAAGTCCATGCCATGTATTTATCTCTCTAGAAGAACTGAGTGAGTCCATGCCATATACCTGTCTTTTAAGAAGAACTGAATGGGTCAACATCATGTACCTGACTCTGCAAAAAAAAAAAAAAAAATCAAGTGAGTCCATGTTGTGTGCTTGTCTTTCTAGAACTAAGTGAGACCATGCTATGTGCCTGCCTCTCTGTAAGAACTGAAAGGGTTCATGCCATGTGCCTGTCTCTGTAGAAGAACTGAGAAAGTCCACAGTGTGCCTGTCTCTATAAAAAAACTGAGTAAATCCCCACCATGTGCCTGTCTCTCTAGAAGAATCCAGTGAGTCCATGTCATGTGATTATCTTTCTAGAACTGAGTGAGACCACACCATGTACTTGCCTCTCTAGAAAAATCAGGTAAGTCCATGCCATGTGTCTCTCTAGTGAACTGAGTGAGTCAACACCAAGTGTCTGTCTTTCTAGAACTAAGTAACTCCACGCTATGTGCCTGTCACTCTAGCACTGAGTGAGTCCACGTCATGTGCCCATCTCTCTGGAACTGAGTGAGTCCACACCATATGCCTGTCTCTTCAAAAGAACTGAGTGAGTCAATACTGTGTGCCTGTCTCTCTAGAACTGAGTAAGTCCACACCATGTACTCATCTCTCTAGAACTGAGTGAGTCCGCACCATGTGACTATCTCTCTAGAACTGAGTGAGTTTACACTGGGTTCCTATCTCTCTAGAAGAACTGAATGAGTCCAAGTTGTGTGCCTGTCTCTCTTGAAAAACTGAATGAGTCCACACCACATGCCTGCCTCTCTAGAAGAACTGAGTGAATCCACACCACATGCCTGCCTCCCTAGGAGAGCTTTGTAGTCACCTTCCCTCTGGTCACTCACAACAGGCCTGGGAGGTAAATGCTGTTCAAATCCTCATGAAGCCAGTGGGTCCTAGAAAGTGAGAGACTGCCATGCTGGAGCCAAGCAGCTTGACAGGGCAGGCCAGACCCCTAAATCTCAGTCTTCAAACAGAGTAATTCATGGTCTTTGATAATGGAGATAAATAAATAGCATGTTCTTGGTAAGTCTCAGAATTACCGGGAAGTAATTCAAGCCTGCTTCCATGTTTGGGACCCCAATCCTTCAGTTTTGAAGCACTCAGTACTTTCATGCCAACAGTTTTCATGTTGGAGAAGAAAGGGTGGTGGTTCGAATCCCAACCCTTTCACTTGCTAAACATCATCCTCCCAGCCAGGTCCTACACCACCTCTGAGCCTTGATTTCTACTATCTTCACAGGGGATAATACTTAGCACTTACTAGTAAAAATACTAAACGAGATTGTTTATGTGTGTACGTAAGCTTGATATAGTGATGTGGCCAAGACATCACCATCACATTCAGCATTTCCGTAGCTTGGACACTGTGCTAAACATTGATCTAAGCTATAGACATACACTCTCTCGTGTGATCCTCCCAGCAACCTTATCTTACAAATGAGGAAACAGAGGGACAGTGTCTGAGTAGCTAGTCCAGTGTCCCATGTCAGGACCTGGCGAAACTGGAATCTGAACCCAGACCCTAGGCCCTTCCCCACCCCCTCACTGCCTCTCACAGCATGGAATCACATTGGAGCATGTTTCGTAAAGTACAAACATTTCATTATTTCATGATTCACTTCCTGGGCTCCCAGGTAAGTTTTTCTCCTCCTAAGACAACCTCTCCATTACATGTACTCATAGCAGAAATATCTTTCAAAATAAACAAAATCTTTCTTACTCAGCCCTAAAATGCAGATACTAAATGGAGAGGAGCCATGCTGACTACACCCTGTCTGTATAGGGGCTTGCCTGCTCCAGGGAGTGGGACAGGGAGGACAAAGGGGCAGGAAGGGGATGGCGGGGAGGCAGAAACACCCACATTCTGTTTATGTCAGTATCGCCTGGTGCTGACCTTGGAATAGCTCCCATGTGTCCTGCCTCAGGAACAAAACTGGGAAAAAAACTTGAGTTTCCAAAGCCTTAAGTGTGGTGTCAATGGTTTCTTATTCCCAAAGCTAAAGACTCTGAAGATTTTTTTTTCCCCCAAAGTGCAGTATGTCCCCAGTAAAACTACAGACTTCTTAAAGGCCAGGCAGGCTACATGTAAAACCTAGGGCCGCAAGCTGAAGTTCTTATCAGTGGCATTCCATAACCTGAACATGTAAAACCTAAATGACAAGAACACTCCTGTTTGTTTTATTTCTAAACTTTCAGAGCAGCTGCCCTTTCCCAAGGGCTTAATGTTTTTCCTCCTGGGTTCTGCCGATCACTTTCACAAAGGGAAGGAGCCCTTTCCACAAGACTCTGAAGAACCCTCCAGGGCCGAGTGTGGTTCTGCCAGCCCTGTTACAGACCCTCTAGTTTCAGGAAAAGCACAAGCCTGAATGTCTATCGACAGATTCTCGTCTCATAAACAGAAGTTTATGGTTATAAACACACTTCAAATTAAGTGCAATTTCCACAAAATAAAAACAAGAACAAATATTTACATCATGCTGCTATGTGCCAGGAATCACTCTAAGCAACATGCATCTATTAGTTTCCACAGCAACCCTAGGAGATAGCTACTGTCATTTATCATCTCCATTTTCGGATGAAAAAACTGAGGCTTAGAGTTCAAATGACTTTTTCAAGGTCATTCAGCTAAGCAGTAGCAGAGCTAGTATTTTTACCCAAGTATTCCAGCTTTAAAAAAGAATCCCTTACCTACTCTACTCTCTTACCACTCTGACAAGTTAGCATCTTAAGACTTAACTTACATTTAGCATTATTGCTGAATTTGGACCGAATTCTTCCTAGAGTTCCGGGGACTAAAGTAATGTCATCCACGTTGGTCAGGTAATTGCTCAAGAACTCAGTTCTGTCACATGTGACATCTTCCATTCCTACAGGGAGAGAAGACAAGTATTTTCAAGCAATATTAAAATTAAAATTTTAACGCAGACTCTAAAGATAACATCCAGGCATCTCTTCAGTTAGTTTTTCACAAATTAATGGGTAGAGCTCCCACTTTTGAAATTGTTTTAACTTGAATTAAATTTTTTTTTTTTTAATCTTTTCACTGGACTCTGATTTAGCCATATTATCTTGCAAGAATCAAAGATTGAAAATTCATCACCTCAGTCATAATTTTCAGCCACTTACCCAGAGTAGCAAGACAAATAGATCATTATGGTTATAATTTTAAAAACAATGATTTACACAGTCTTATGAAAAAGATCTATTCTTAAAAAAAAAAAATCCTAGATTGCTTCAAACTCTTCCCAGCTGGGGGTGGCATAAATAATTGGAGTACACAGCTCTGTGTCTCTTATATCTCCTGTCTGCAGGACATAATCATGGTCTTCTCTGTCTCCTCTGGTGGCCTTGGATGTTACTGACAAAACAAAACTGGCAACAAAAAATGAGAAAGAAAAAGGTCAACTCCAATGACCACCCAAAGTGAAAAACAAAACCATGCTGGAAGAAGCTGTCAACAATGTAATTAGTCAAAACTGAAAGCTGGCAATGAAGGCACAGAAAGGGTCTATCTAGGTGGGGAATTTATTTAAAACAACAAATATTCCTCCCCCACCCCAATATTTGTTTTGTGTCCCCCATCAGGGAAAACTTTTTGATCAACATTAAAAATTTTTTGAAGGACTCAAAACTTAGACTCATAGACTATGGAGGTCAGCAGAGACCTTTGCTGTCCATACTGGAGTTCATGGGGTGACCTGGAGGCAGGAAAGCCTAATATGTAGCTTTGCACAATCTGGTATATGAATATTCCCTAGCAGGGAAAATGCATGATCCCGTGATGGATGCCCTAAGGTTTTAGAATGAAGTAATATAACCCAGGGTGGCCTGGATCTGGTAAAATTCAAATGATCACTCCTGGGATCCCAAATCCAGACTTACCCTTTTTTAATACAAATTGAAGTGAAAACTGAGGAAAAACATATCCTGATATACGTAAGGGTTACACATCTTGCCTTTTAACATTTAAATCCTCGGGAAGAAAAATAAAAGCAATAAAAAGCTGCTGTGTTCAAGTACAACATCATCCCGGAGGGGATATATTCAGACACACACTACTGGAGACGGCAGAGATGGTCCCTCGCCACAGGTCCAGGCGTTGCTGATGCCACCCCAGTGGTGGGCAGCCTCCTTGCTCTCAGGTCAGACAAGCACTGCGCAGACAGCCTCTTGGGTGCTATGGCCCTAGCCCTCCAGACTCACCACATCAGCAACCCTATCCTACAGATGGGGAGGTAAGAGGCAGGTGTGCTGTGCCACAGAGTTCCGAGGTGGCCCTGCACAACATGAACTCCACCAAAATTCACTCCAACTCCAAAGCCCATGCCCGGAAACATTAGAAAATACTGTCTTTTCAGAAAGAGCTGCTGTGGCGTCCAGAAACCAGATGAATCTGTTCACCCTGGAAGCCTCATGTTGATGAGGCCACTTAAATGGAAGCAGCTTTGATGTGTCTCCAAATCCTCTGCCTTTGCCCTGTCGGTGGCTCTCCTGCAAGCCACATCCACAGAGTATGGTTCTGCAGAGGGTAACATTCAGTCTCCTCCGAGGAGAAAGTTTCCATGGCTTTTTTTTCCCCAGCTTCTCATAGATCTTCTAGAATGCTCTAGAAAGAACTTCTCAGACCCAGAATAGAGCTTTGACTAGGGAGAGCTGCCCATCATTCTTAACAGAACTGCCAAGTCAATCAATTTCATCTTCCAAACTCTGCTAGAAGGGCACAGCCCCAAATTCCAAGGCCAAGGAATGTGATATCACTTGACAGCTCTGGACACAAGAAGCACTCACTAGAACTCAGTCTGCAAGTCTCCAAGCCAGCCCCTGCCAAGCTCCATGATCATATAATGTTTATGGTGTCCTTGATCACTTCAAAGAGGTGGTCATAGGACTTTCTACTTCATAAGCCAACTGAGCAAAATTGCTGCCTGCACTGCTCCTTCTTGCCTGTAGCTGGGCCCTGCATGCAGCAGGGCCCTCTGGTTCTGGCCTCCGTGAATTCAGGGAAGTCATTTGACATCTATGCCACTTCTTCAGCTAGAATCCTGTCTCTGTCTTCTTATCATCTTGAGACTTTTTAATCACATAAAGTCTGTGGGCTCATTTTGGGGATGTGGCTGGCAGGGAAAGGAGGTTATCACCTCCTATGTCACATTCACAGAGGAAGCTGTTAATGTCACATGTGAATTGTCTGTCATACTTTAATAAGAGACAGATTTTCATAGAAAGACCTTTCCTGCAAAGGACAGAAAAATATAGAAATCCCTACTTTTGATCAAAATGAACCCAAGGTCATCTCTACTTTTGAATCATGGTCTGATTTTTTTCCTCATCTTAAAGAAAGAAGGAAGCATAAGAATAGAATCTTAGGCTCCCAGAGGAGGGTTCCTATCCTCAGCACTGCCAGAAGCATCCTCTGTCCACCCGATTAGCAAAGAAAAAGCAGAACTTTACCGTGGTCTCCGACAAAGATGACATTCACACATCGATGCAGCTTCAGCTGTTTCAGTCCATCCATCAACTGTCCCACCATTTTGTCAATTTCCCTCAGAGGATTTGTCATCTGGAAAAAGGAGAAAATTAGTCTCTACAGGGCTTTTTTCCCTTTCCTTTCCAGTTTCTCACAGATCTTCTATGCCTAGAACATTTGGGGGGAAAAAAACTTCAGGCCCAGAGGCAGCACTTTGTCTGGGGAGATTTGCCTTTCTTCATGGAAATCTGGTGTAAGCACTTTATACATGTATTCTTCCAGGATAATTAAAACCTCACCTCATCCAATCCCTTTAAAATTCTTTGATATAAAAAAAATTAAGAACTTTTTGTTAAGAGTTAAAGTGGCCTTTCTAAAATGTGACAACATTCTTTAAATCTGAGAGTTTTGAAAGAGAACAGAAAGTCAAATAGACAGCAGACAACTCCTAAATGAACTCGCATTAGGTTTGAACCATGGCAAGAAGAAAGATGCTAAGTGAATCAAAAGTAGTTCTGAGGTAAAAAAATTATAGCTGTCCACAGATGATAAATTAGAATGCCATCAATACAATAGGATCTATCTCTTTCCAAAAAAAGTTGGCTGCTGATTTCTGAGAGCAACATTTTTTTTAGGAGATGCTCTGTCACCCAGGCCGAAGTACAGTGGTCTAGCCGTAGCTTACCATGGCTTCAATCTCCTGGGCTCAAGCAATCCTCCTGCCTCAGTCTCTAGGTATTAACAGCTGGAACCACAGGCATAAGCCACTGCAGCCCAGCTAATTCTTACTGGGAGAACCTATTCTAATTAAACTACTGCTTCTCAGTTTAGTTCCTTTCAAGCTAACTGTGAATAAAATAAGAATCTATAAGAGTCCTGCCTTAAACAGAAGTGAACCACTGAGTTTGGCCTAGGAGGTTTCTTATTTAGTCTAACAAAATACAAAAGCTCAATTCTGCTTCAAAGGCCATCTCCAAAGCCTAAGAAACATAACCCACCTCTCATTTTCTTGCTTCAGATGGGAGTTTCTAACAGCATGAATGTTCCCACATACAGGAGGTTGTCCCCCTCCCTCTCATCTTTAACTGTGCAATGACAAGATTTTTAAGAAACTTCACATCAGATGAAGAATAGAAAGATACAGGAAGCTTCTTTAGGTGAATTTCCTAGCTTAGCTAATAAGCACACACACATGTCTAAGATGGTCAAGAGGAGAAAGAAGGGGTATAAGCATCATTGCTGCTCCCACACAAAGTTCTCTGCTATGAGCATCTTCTCGGATAGATCAAGACCTTTCCTCCTGTTATTTCATCAGTGCAATTGGGTGTAAACCTTTTTTCTTCATAACAGAAGTATTTCAAATCCTGTCCCAAGAAGTGGGTCATAGTGGAAAGTTCCAGAAAGAGGCATGAAGGGACTACCAGTTGAAACACATGGGATTTGCTTCTGAGAAAACCTCACTCTTCTCCAAGATCTTTGTCTGGACAAAGAAGCTACTTCTCAAGGATCAGTTCAGATAATCATAAATTAACTACTCAGAAGTATTTGAAGGTATCTGGAAAAGTAAAAACCCACAGGGTCTTCTGAATGTACCAGAAAAGGAGCTATTACTCCCATCACTAAGGAAAGCCATACACAACTCTATCCGCTCATGGTTTCCTCTCTTCCTTCCTCAGCTATTCACCTACAATCTAAATCCTTCTTCAATCTCTGAAGGTTCAGACCACTGATCTAAGCCACCCTTCTACTGAGCTCTCATCTACACAGTATTTGAGGACACCAGGGTCACAAGCCATGGGACCAATTCTGTGAAGAAGTGCAAGAGAAACTAACCGGCTTCTTCATGGTCACTCCAGCCTAAATGTGAGTACTGGTTTTAGGACAACTAACTAAACAAAGTAAAGGGCCTCTTTTTTTCCCATCATGGTGAAAGTTCAGGAAATCTTCAACTCAGAGTTAAGTTCTGAAGTGCCAGATTCTTCTGAACTAAAATCCAAAGATAATGCACCAGAGTTTTTGTAAAATATGTGCAGCCAATTCTCCAGCCAAGGTGCAGGAGGGAGTCTGCAACTCAGCCTTGCCCGCACAAAGCTTTGGGACAACAAGGAGACTTACTTTGTCCTGCCGGGCTTCCGCAGCGAAAGGATCCATCCTATGCAACTTTCTTCTTCTTTTCTTTGGAGGAGCAACTGGTCTTTCCTGCCTCCTCTTAGGGGCAACCTTCCTCTTAGGTCTCTTAGCCGGAGCCAGAGGTGGGCCATAACTACTCTCCTGTACTGGCGGATAGAGATGTCTGGATTCAGAAGTGTCTGTCCCTCTGGGCCAGATGATAAGCCCCATGTGTTCCCGTCTGGGGTCAGCAGAGGCTTAATTAGAAAAAGGCTCCTCAAGTGAGAAAAAATTGGAAAGAGGGACAACTTGGGGAATCTAGAGAGAGAAGCCTCTGAACGGAGCTTGACTCTGCTGTCTGGCTTTTTCCCTGAGACCCAGAATATCTCCAGGGGCATCTGGCCATGCAGGGTCTTTAGGCTGAGGACTATGCATAGATGTGTCTGAAGTGACTGTGGACAAGCTCTGCATTTGAGAGAGACTGGCCCTTGGTTATGAAGAGCTCTCCATTTACAGAAGACTGGCCTGAAACTCAACAGAACACCAGTCACTGGGTCACTTCAAGATGGCTGTGATGGTCATACAAGTGGCTCCAATTAAGATTGGATGCATATCTCTCTGTCATGCCGCCCAATACATCAAAGCAACTGTCACCTTCACAGGCAATGACTGAGCAAAAAAGTTTAAGACCAAGAATGGAATGAAACATAAATAATTAGCAGTCCTCCTAATTTGTGAATGAATTCCAGCAGGAGGTGCTTGCACTGGCAGTAAGGCTTTCAGCACAGAGGTGCTCGAGGGCAAAATCTCCTTAAAACTGGGAGAAACTAGCCAGTCACAAATCTCTTTGTTTTGGTGTATAAACCAAGAAGGAGCTTAGTTATGCCTTGCCATCAGAAGCCCTCCTGGGGGAGCCATGTGTACCCATTGTATATAGAGGCTCCAGAGAGCAGGAAAGGTTGACAGGCTGAAGGTAAGCTTTGGGATTTCCAAATACTGGCGAAAAACAGGCCCCTGATTTGCTGATGGTGCAAAGGCGAATTAAAGCAGCAAGCCTGGCTATCTCCCTAAAGGACTCCTCCCAAGAGACGGTTCTGACAGCCATTCAGATGCAGGAAAGGGTAAGGGGACAATGTTAGTGTCTCCAGAAGGAGAACGGCTGCCATGCGACGTCACCAGCAGCAAAGGCACTCTGTCCCTGTCTCATCCTCGCTCCCCCACTGAGCAATCAAAAGATACAGCCCCAAAGACTTTGCTTGTGTATTTGTTTTCTAAGGCTCCTAGTTTTAGGCAAATCCCCATTAGAAAAGCAGCAAAAGGAAAAGAGATTTTTCCATTTCACTGTCACCGAATACATTCTGCCAGCGCTCAGATCAGCCCACCAAACTCTCAGCCATTTGCAAGAGACCTCAACATCCCCAAGACTCCAGAGGCGAGTCCTTCTGACGGCAACGCGTTAAAGGAGCAGAAGGAGTAGAGTTTAGTTACATGGGGTTTTCATCCTGTGATTACGTGGCACAGACTTCCTTCCCCAGATGTTAGAGTTAGAGGAAAGCTAAGTGTCCACTGACCAGCCATACTTTAGCCTGAATTGAGAAGTTTTAGCCTGAGGTTATTAGGAGGACGGGGACACAGGGGCGAGTTTCCCTCCTCTTCAGAAGGACACTTTGCCATCTGAAGGTAGGAACCAGCCAGCCAAAGCTCTGCCTCTAGGCCTGGAAGAGCAGCCGAACAGAAGGGGTCACAGAGGAAGCATAGAGGGCCAAAGGAAGGAGATTGCGCCAATACTCAAAAGCAAGCATGTTTCTGAACATTCACCATTACACTATGAAACCAGGAGCAATACACCATTTCTGGAGGCTTTTAGCTCAATGTGTGGTCATCTCATTTAATAGTTTTTGAGAACCATCCTGCAAAAAAGTGCACTCAAATATTTAGCAAATAAGCACACATTTCAACTGAACCCATCTTATGGCACACAGCATTTTGCTAGTTAGAATCGTTTCCATTAAATTCCTAACGTAAGTTATTTTCTTGTTCTACATAAAAGACAACACGTACTGATTCTAAAAATAATTTTTCACCTAGAACATATAATCTTTTCATGCACAATAAATGTAAATGGTGACATACATATAGGACAAACAGGTATATAAACCGAGTCTATGATACAAGAGAGGTTGTCCTGACTTGCCTTGGTATGTTTTAAAAGTATATAAACTGTTTTTGTTTTTCTTTCAGTTTAAATAAGATTTGTAGAACAGATGAGAAATTGTTGAAATCTGAAAATACCCCTTGCCTTATGGAAAGAAAGTGACCAGGTTGTCAGGTTACCATAGGAAAAGTTTCTGTGTATATATTTATAAGCAACCCAGGGGACAGAACAATCAAGCAAATTCTAGCATCCATATCATGCTTCCTTCCTTCATTTTTCAGCACTTTGAAAAAATATGTTTATCAATTAAAACACATACATGTTCAAGGAGGTCACTGTAACTGAACTATTGTATTAGAAATCCAAAGACTTTCATGTATGAAGGACAACTACTATTGAGTCATAGAACTTTTAAGGTATAGGATAAGCTAAACCTCATCTATATTGTTAAAGCCAATTCCTGTCATGAAGAAAATATTCTGCATGATGTGGAAGTAGTTATTACCAACCACTCAGCTGATTCCCTGGACTAAAGGAAGGTTGAATGGCTCCCTGGGAAAACCCAAGTCTGGAGTCAGAGATTCTAAGTTCCACCTCCAAGTGCTCCGTTTACCACCCTGTTTTGCCTATCCTGCAGGGTCTATAAGGAGTTATTAGCCAAGCAAAGTCAGACTTTTAAGTGGGGCACAAGGAATTGCTTGGGTGTCTTGTTTTGTTTTTTAACATTTTAATATGATGTGGATCCTTTTGTTCACTTTAGATTAATGTCAAAGAAAGTCATCCTAAAGAGGGGACAGTTAAACTTGCTTTGGTTTTCTTTCCTGGCAACATAAGGTTTGTGTTTCATGGATACAGATGTTTACCTCATCTTATCACTTGTGTTTCATAATCAGACACCTCTGGTCAAACATCAAAGGGGTAGAAAAAGTCCAGATGTAGATGGCTTCAATGATTTTAGACAAACTAAGAGTGTTTTCTTGTAGCCATTAGCTTCCAGTGCTTAAAAAAGTCACATCTGGATTGATGTCAAAGCATTCAGAAATACTTCTGATTCCTTGCTATTTACTGCCTTTGTTTAGACATGCAACAGTTTGCTCAAAAATACTTAAACCAGGATATCTCTATCTGGATCTCCAACTCATCCTTCTGCTAAAATCAGTGAATTTAATCACAGTCAACAGTGTTGTCATATGCTATTAGGGAAGTGGAGGCAATTTTCATCATTTTAAAAATATTTTCTCAGCCAATAATCAAGTTATATTATGTTAATGTAGACCTCACCACCATATTAAGAGAGATAGACAACATTTAAAATATTTAAAAGCTTAGACTTGCAAACACTATCATAGCTTTTAATGATCTACACTGAGATGTGGGGAAGATTTCCATCTGACATGAAAGAGAAGCATGATAAAATATAGCCATCCCTTTCCTCCTCCTAAATTTGCAGTTCTACTGGACAGTCTCTTACAAACAGATTGTCTTCTCCTCTGATGGATGATCAAAGAGATTGCGCTCCTCTGCCAGCAGAGTTGTTCAGCAGCACATCTCTCTCAGTTAAGAGTTTACCTCTGGGGGTGATGAGTATGCTCACACTCGTGAGTGTGGTGATGGTTTCACAGTACACACACCTATACCAAAATTCATTAAGTCACAAGGGTCCATTGCTATTTCACATGAGTGTAGCTGCTGAGACCACTAGAGCTACCCACCGGACCTGCCCCCTTTGAACTGCATGTACTAAGGGTGCTCAGCGAAACTGCCCCCTCTGAACCATGACCATGTTAAGAGTGCTCAGCTGATCTGCTCCTTCTGAACTATAACTGTGTTGAGGTGCTGAAATTCAATTGCTCTGTTTTGTATTGTAGATTTCATCTCAAGTTTCCTTCTACACCTCTCCCAGCAATGGCATGGGCCAACCCTTCCTATCTTTACCTCAGGACTGACACCTACAGCACTGGAACACACCCTGATCCCATGAACATCAAGCTTAGGACAGATTCGAGTATATAACCGATCTGAAATGAAGTTCCTATAAGAGAAACGGGTATGTTTAAAATTTTAAAAATCTTTTTAGTCATGTAGTTGTCTGACTATGCATAAGCCCTATAAACACAAACATCCTTTAAAGCTGTATATGCCCCTGAAACAAGATTAGCAGGTCAGACTGCTCAGGGATGCAGGGATGCGGGCTCTTCTCAGGCAGAGGATAAGCTACTAACCTCAGGGCCAAAAGGGCCGTATTTGTGTCCAGAGAAGTCGGGTTGTTCAGAATAAAAGGCGTATACCGAAGGCCTGCAGGAAAATTGAAAGGTTGGAATCTCCCCAAACACGCATCACAAGGAATTATCAAATATCCCCATATATTAAAACCCCTTCAGGCCTACCGCTCAACCTTGCTGGTGTGACCATGAGGAGCTTTCTAACTATTGGGTTTATGCCCACTGCCCTACCCATCCCCGCTATGGTGGCTTCCCAATACCACTGACAGGAACCAGAAGCCACAAAGGATGACTGCACACATCTTTAGACTGTTGATTCTCAAAATAACAGAGCCTGGGCATAGTTCACCAGGCCATGCAATCTCAGACTGGAGAACAGTGGCACCGTGGAAGCGGAGGCTCAGGCCCAGTGCCTCCCCAGCCAGGCACACTGCTAGGCGCCTTGTCAATGCCAGACACTTCCTCCACTGCACAGCCATGGACAGGATCGACGGTGCTGCCACCCGAGCCTGAATACCCTGGTAGCCAAGTCTACCATATCTCTCTCAGGGAAGTCCTGCTCCAGGCCAAGAGCACAGCATGCTCCCGTGCCCAGCCTGGCTTCCACTCCTCAAGCCAGGCAGACATGTGGTAGGGAGGCAGGAGCTGACATACCTCTCGTTGTCCGGCAGGGTGAGCCATTGCAGGATGGTCAGGACTCTCCGCTCATGAGGGATGACGCTGTGGGGACGACAGTACCATGTGTTAGGTCGCCAAGCACACACCCAAACCGTGAGGGCCTGCCTTGCCCAGGCCAGGTGCTCTCATTTACCACCATCTGTTTCTACTTCACCATGGACAGCCCCTCTTTCAAATTAGCATCTAAACTGTCATTTTCATTTGCAACACATGAGCTGCTCAGTCCATCCCATAAAAGACAACAGAAACTCTGACTCACCATCAGCACGAGGAACCTGTCATGCTCATCAGAAACCCTGCTCACAGCAGGAAGGACCCTGACCTCAGAGCCACTCCCACCCACTGCGCCACGGCCAGGCACCAGGATTCATGACCCCAGTGCCTCTCCCTGGCAGCATGTCCTTTCTTGAGCCTTAGGCACCTTTATCTCTCTCAGTCTCAGTTTATACATCAGCAAAATAAAGACAACAGTTGAGCACATGGCAAAGCCTGGATGTAAGGACGAAATGAAACCAGGCAAGGGAAGGGCACGTACAGTGCCGAAGACACCAAAAAGTCTCATGTTTGTGTTAATGACCACAGTTATTCATTGTTCTGCCTGCAAACAGCTATGTGACTTTAGACACATTATCTAACCTGCAGCTTTAAGCTCTCCTCTGTAAAATAATGGGTTGGAGAAGGTATTCTTGAAATTCCCTTCCAGCTCCATGAAAATCTATCAAGAATAGGCACCTATAATTATAAGACTGACAAACGGTATAATCTTCATCCACGATGGCTTTTGTGTCTGAGTCTCAGTCCTCTGGGGAGACATAATTACCCCACGTCTGGCACTAGCTGTAACCCTGCAAGAGCTCTCAGCCACATAGCGGTCTTGGCCCCTGCTGACATGTACAAGATGCCCACAAGCTGGGCAACATCTTTCCTTGGGGGACACTTGCCCTGTCTGTCCTAACAAGGAGCACAGAATGCCTTTCACCCCATCCATGAGAAGGACCGAGAGATGTGTTTGTGGTGAATTCACATGAAGGCACAAGTTCAGTATGATTGGGAAAAGTCACTGTGGCATGCTGGCAAGCCACTTGAGCTTTTTCTCTTGGAGGTCATGAACCAGAAGACAGAGAAACCCTCGGGTTCTGGTGGTGGGGCTCTAGATGGGTGGCCTCTCTCCCATCTGTATCTCAGGGGGTTGTCATTACTCTGCCATCCACTCTGTCTAGAACTATCATACAAGACCAGAAAATCATGTACACCATAAAATTTTAGTCCTAATTAAACATACTCCAGTGCCATTGAATAAATGCAACCCTGTTTATTACATCCTATAATTGAATTAGAACTAGGCAGAGCAAAGTCAGGTTAATCGCTTAAGGAATTTAATTCTTCAGCCTTAGAAATCCTTTGTATCTGAACAAAATAATTGCATATTTTGAATTCTTTCCTAACTTAAAAAAGGCAAGTGCCAGAGTCTTTTCATTTTACCTCATTTTACTACCTGCCTAAAAGCTGCTTTATTTTATGTAATTGGTGTTAAGCTACATGATGAACCCATTTCTAATGCTAATGGAAAAATACAAGCTAACAGAATCTGTGTCCCATTCAGAATGCTCACCCTTGAATGCCCTCATTGGATGGATACTTGCACTGTGGTAGACAGAGAATTAAAAGCACCAGCTGTGAGGCCAGAGTGCTTGGGTTTGAATCCTAACTCCAAAAATCACCAGTCTTAAGACTTGGCACATGACCTTGCCTTTTGGCGACTCTGGAAAAATAAAAGGATAGTTGTACCTACCTTGTAAAATCATTGCAAGGATTAAAAGACATAATATATGTAAAGCATTTAGAATAGCACTGGGCATGTAGATAGGTTTAGAAAAATATCAGCTCTTATTACCGTATGCTGGAGCTATAGGTTCACGGAGATAATACATTTGTTCATGAAATCTTTGTTAAAAGCACACTGTGGCCAGGCTGGGTGGCTCAGCCTGTAATCCCAGTGCTTTGGGAGGCTGAGGTGAGTGGACTGCCTGAGCCCACGGGTTCAAGATCCGCCTGGGCAACTTGGCGAGACCTCATCTCTACAATAAAATCAAAAATTAGCCAGGCATGGTAGTGCATGCCTGTAGTTCCAGCTACTTGAAAGGCTGAGGTGGAAGGATCGCCGGAGCCCATCAGGTCGAGGCTACTGTGGCCAGGAGCAGCTATTACCCTCCAGTCTGGGTGACAGAGTGAGACTCCAAATCAAAAAAAAAAAAAGCACACTGTGTTCAAGGCATGAGTATAAAGATAAAAGAAGACACAAGATACTGCTACCAAAAAGACTGGCATGGAAGAGCCATCATTCTTTTGGGAAAAATATTCAGGTGATCATCACTTTCTGGAGAGGAGCTGACTGCGTATGTGTGCATGTGTTTGCATGTGTATATGTACGCAGCATGAGGTGAGGACTCTGGAGGTCTGAGAAACCATCCTAAGTGTGACCTCTGGTGGAACATTCAATCTCTCTAAGCCTTCATGTTCTAATCTCTTAAATGAAGAGTTGGACAAGGTTGTCTTTAAGTTTTCTAGGGGTTCTAGATTATATTTATAAAATAACCTCAGAGACCAAAGAGACATGGCCCTTAACCATGAGTATGTCAAATACAATGCAAAGACAGCACAAATAAGTTTGACCAAAGGAAAGCATACATCCAAGCAGAAAAGGAAATGGGATATGTTTTCGCCATCATCAACTGATGTAGAATTTGTCATAAGACCAAGTCCACAAGATGTGGTCAGAAAAGTAGGGGCATGGGAACTGGAAATTGAAAGATGGAATGAAGTATTTACTGCTGAAGGGGAACAAATTACTTTAGAACATCTATGGCCATTGTTTACTTCATGTTGAAAAAAATAATGGGAATAAGAAAACACATACTACTTACGGGTTGTTCTCCATAGACTGAGTACCCTAACGAGCACTTCAAATACATTAACCCATTCCATCTTCACAACACCCCATGATGAAGGTCCTATAGTTTTCATTTATAGATGAGAACCTTGATTGGTTGGGAGATTAAATCACTTGCCAAGCTCAGCAATCCAATAAGCACCAAAGCTGGAGTTAAACTCAATCTAAACAATCATATGTAATGGGAATTACCCACCTTTGAACATGAACTGGCATAAAACATTAGAGCATCAGCTGAAGATGCTTTGGAATGAAATGCTATCACCAGAAAAGCAAGAATAATTCCAGGTTGCAGTTCAGAACCATACTGAAGAAATGACCTTCAAAGCCTAGGTTTATGGTCTGAATCTGGCTTTAAATTTTAAATTTTTCAGAATGTACTATGTTTTGATTTCCTTACTATATATTCCCTTAAATAATTTAGTATAATCTTAGTTTTTTAAAGTGAGAAAAAAACTTCAAAAAATGTAAAGAGAAAAAAATGAATCCCAGTCACTTCTAGAATACAGAGATAAAATAATAGTCAGAAGCAAAGCGAACTGTAGATATCTTTGGGGCACACAAAAACCACCTTCTTATAAGGGGCTTCGAGTGAGTGGGGAAGATTGCCATTCAAAGCCAGAACACTGGGCCTTTTCAATGAAGCTTTGAGGCAGTCTCGGGGGCAAAGGTGGTACTGAGTATTCATTATGCTGTTGGCTCTTCTCCCTTCTGACAGGCAATATGTTGTGGTCATAAGAAATCCCTTCTGTAAGCACCTATGACAGTTGGGGGTTAAACAAATGCAATGCATAAGATAAAACTGCTAAATCCACATGGATTTACATTAAGCAATACCAATTCTGACACCCCTAGACTTATTTCCCAACTTGGAGGTCTCTTTAAAAAGGGAAAAAAACTTTTAAAGGAACACCCTATCTTAGCTTCAAATCACCAAACCCAATTTCAATGTAGCCTTCAAATCTGAAAAAGCTACTTTCATTCCTGATTTTGGGGAATACGGAGGTTATGGTTCTGGATTAATGTGAACCTGTGATTGCTCTCAACACACTACTATTATGGAATAGTCAGATTTCTGTGAGGCATGAGAGGCAAATATGGAAACAGCTTTAGGTGGTTTTTTAAAAAAAAGATGGAAAGAACATCACGGTGAGAACAAAATCCCCATGAAAGTTTAAACAGAATCCTTTTCTTACTAAGGAGTTTTAAAAATAATCAGCATGTTAACATGTTTATTAGGTAACTTGCATCTTAGCGCTGACAAGCATCGGTTATTTATCCCGCATCACCTCTGTGGGGGTGAGAAGGAGCTCCGTTTCCTTGTGAGGAAAGCCCTAGAGATCAGTGAGAAAACGGGGTAAAATCAGGGGCTTCCCCAGGACCTCCTGTGTGGAACATCTCCAGATAACTCCATGGTTCCCAGACGCAGGAGACCACACTACGTTTTTGAAGTTGTGAACCAAAATAAATAAAGTATGCTGTAATATATTTATAGAAAGTGATAATGAAAACCACAGCAATAAATGATCTAAGAGAAATATTCATTTCATAGGTGACCAGTTACCAAAAACCTACAAACAGGGACAGCGATGTCTGAAGGATGTCTAGAAGAAGAGAAAAACTTTCTTATAACTTACTTATACCTTACTTACGTATATTCTAGTATGAAAGGATGGGAAAAAGGAGAGACAGAGGAGAGAGAGGAGATAGTAAGAGGAAGTGGAGAGAAGAAGGTCCTCAGGAAAAAATTCCTGGAATGTTATTTTGAATCCACAAATATCCAAAAGTTCAATACTTTTACATTTAACTGAAGTTAAATTAAAAATTGAATTGACATTTTATAAACTGAATCATAATTGTCATCTTATAAACATTGACAAAATAAAGGTAACTTACACAGACCAAAAGAATGTTCCAGCTTTCACCCCTTGCTTGGTGGCTGTAATCCACAGCTAATGAGGAAAATATAAGAGGCTTATAATGTGTTCTGCATTTTGGTCAATGAAGAAACAGTTTTAAAAAATACGTTAGATCAGATTATCTTATGCTCTACTCACACTCCAACATACATTTCACATTGCTTGCAACCATTTATTTTCACATCTGGAAGTCAGAATCATTATTTCCATAAATGTTATTAAATGCATTCCCTGCAAAAGCTCAGCTATGATCCTAGTGACATTTTGCAAAAACTTATTTCATCTCAAAAGCCTCTCTCTTCTGTACCTGTCTCTTTGGGTCATTGTTTTCAACATTACTCTTGTGTGGCAAGAGTTCTGCTCACCAAAGGACCCCAGAAAGGGCCAAGTGTTTCCCCTACTCTGGAAACCTTATAGGGATGCCCAATTTGGAACCCAGATGTCAGAATCTTGGAACCTAGCTGGTCTCGTTTCATTTTAAGCAAGACGAATGAGAAGGGAGAAGGAAGGCTAACTCTGCACCTGGACTTTCCCTGTATCTTTCACCGAGTCTTTCAGTAAATGTTATTTTAGGGGAAAGTTACTGGATAAATTGGTGAACCAAGCATTTCATCAAGGCTTTTAAAGTATCCTTTACAGTGTGTTTGTTGGGAGTCCAGGTCCTGGCTCTGCATCCCACAGCCCTGATTTCAAACCTGATTTCTGTCACTTACCAGCTGTGATGTCCTTCAGCGAGTTACGCAACCTTTCTGTGTTGCAGTTTCCTTTACAATGTGGATAGCATTATCCTGCACGTAGGATTATTCTAAGCCTTAATGAGTTAATACATTTAAGGTCCTTAAACCTGTGTCTTAACATTTGGTAAACACTCAGTCAATTTCAGCCCTTATTGTTATTACGTAGTAATGGAAATAAATATATTCCAGGAACATTAAAAACAGCTTAAAACGGCAAGTGCCCTGCTGAGCAAAAGTCTATGAAAAAAACCCCTCGCTTCAGGGAAGCAAACAGGAGAGAGAACAGTGCCTCATGTATCACAAAGCAAAACTACTTAGTGTAGCCAGCCCCTTTTCTGGTTTCATTGTGTCCAGCCTTTGAGAGTGTCCTTTGAAAGTGAACACTTATTTTTTGAGGACATGGGTAATTGGGAGGTTTTGGTCATCTAGGAGTTCAGTTACAGTTTCCAAAGGTTCTGGGACACCTACCCTGGGAAAGCTGAAAGAGGCTTGCAGGTCCCCTGTGGGGCATGTAGCAATCCCAGCTCCAGAATTCTGAGTGCAGGTGGATTCAGTCGTGTGGCTGGGGCATGGGTCGGGCTGGCCAGGATTTCGGCCTCCCAGTGAAGGTCAGAGAGGTAAGAGTCCTGGATTGCTCTGAGTGCCCCTTTGCTCTTTCTGGTCCTGAGCTCCTTTTGCTTGACACGCAACTTCTGGCTTACCCAGTATCCCTGGCCCAACCAGGACTCTGATGTGTCCTGTATTTTCACGCATTCTTATTCCCACACTGCCACCAGCAAGGCACATTCACAAGACACGCTGGACACCCTAGGGAACCATGCCGGCCCTAAGAGGCTGGCAGCTTACATCGAAGGTTCCATTTTCATGCCTGTGTTAATTTCACAAACACAGCATTCAATATCCAGACACCTTTTTAGAGGACCTAGTGCCTTGCTGCTCCTAAAGGACTTGTACTAGGCAACACTGGGCATATATGAAATGTAAGATCATGCTGGGGTTTTCTAAGAGAAAAAAATCGTAATCCACATTTATCAAGGATGTCAATGACAACCCTGCACCTTCAAACATCAGACTGCAAAACACAGGCTGACTCTGGCACTATCTGAGCATCAGAAAGTCCCAGGAGTAACTCAGCTCAGTATCCCCAGGAAGAGAAGACCACTAGGTCTCCGCAGTGTTGCGAGGAAGGACACAGACAGCAAAATGACAGAGCGATTTACAATCTTTCTGATCGCAAAATCAGAATCATTTGTTCTTTATATTTTTCTGTACTTTTCAATATTTTTATCAACAATAAACATTTGAAACCAGAAAAAGATAACTAATTTTTTTAAGTGAGAAAGCAGGATTTATTGAGAGAACAGATAAGTTCCCACAGTGGGAGGAGACTCGAGGGCATTGCCTAAAAATAATTAATTTTTTAAAAGCAACGTGTCCTAGAAGGATGCAGCTACTTAAATGTGAACTATGAAGACAATTTAAAGATAAAAAAATAATATTTCTTAAAAAAGAAAAAAAAGGCCAGTCAACCTCTGACCTTGGGACTACCCATTCAATGGCATTCTCCATATTTACCCAGCCCTTGGCCTAGGGACAATTCACAGCATGGCGTTCTCCAAGTCCAGCCAGCCCTCAGCCTTCAGACCACCACTCCATGGTGCTCTCCATGTCCACCTAGCCCTCGGCCTCGGGACCACCCACTCCACGAATGTTCTCAGTGTCCAGCCAGTCCTTGGCCTTGGGACCACCCGCTCCTAGCATTCTCCTCCTACTGCTTCTTTCTTGGTCCTGCTTCCTGCATCCTCAAATGCAGGGTTTAATTTAATTACCAGTGCAAGATTTTAAAAAAAAATTTTTTAGACATTTATAAAAATTTGTAAAGTTTTTATAAATATTTTTTCACTGATGACTGTAAAATGTATAAGCCTCTGAGAAGATTGTATAAATGCTTGCAGAATGTTTATGTTTTCTTATAGGACCTTTAGCTTCGTATATTCTTATACTTTGACTAAAGTTTCTTTCTTATTAATTTTTTCACTTATAATAGAGACATTATAGCTGTACATATTTATGGGATACAGTGCAATCTATCAAACGGATACAGACGTAGCATAATGATCAAATCAGGGTAACCACCATATCCATCACTTTAAGCCTGGATTATTTCTTTGTGGAACAGGATTCAGAATCTTCTAGCTGTCTTGAAACATTCAAGACATCATTACTTGTGATGATCACCCCTGTGAAATAGGACGTCAGAACTGTAGTTTCTGTCTACATGCTCTTCCTACTATTTATTACTTTCTACATGCCAATTTTAATAAAACATGTTTCTCACTTGTCGCTGCCATGCTCCTTGGGGTTTTTATTGTGGCCATCTTATTCAAGAGGGTAGAAACACAAATCAGCTTCATCACAAATATTGGCCAGCATGAGGAGAGCACTGAATGCAGTTGGATATCAACCATGAGGGCTAGTGCACTAACAGGTCAATAGTTGAAACAGAGACTCCCTGCCCTAAAGTTCAGCAGCGTCCCTAGCAGCTTCTGCAGAAGTTAATGAGTCTGGACCCATCGTCTAGGAAACCTAGGGTCAGCACTCAGTGCAAGGTGGTCCAACTGATGAAGTTACTATTTATCCCTATATCCTTTGTGGTTACTCAGGCATGCTTTCATCCATAATAAATGTGAATATATTTAATATATATTAATATAATACAAAATTACATTGCTATAAAAGACCAACTAGCAACGGCTTGACAGAGCTCTAATTCCAGTTGTTTTATTTTATTACTAGTAAAATATTTCCCTATCAGAAACTGTTTGTGGAATTATCCTGTCATTACGATACCAACCTAGACCATCATAGACTTCTGGAGTTCAGCTCCAATAAAGACAGCAGAATCAGAACATCTATTATATGTCTATTATATGTCTATTCCACAGACATATAAGGCTTCTGAAGCTTAAAAAAAGGAAAGAACTCATCCTTGCATACTGACATATATTATGCCACACAAATATTTCTATCACAAAAGACCTTTTCTCAAAGTGAGATACTCTAAGAAAAAAACTCCCACTGACAGTACCTATGTTACCCACAGACTGCAATCAACTTTCCCAGGTCTGAGGTTACCAAAGCATGGTGGGTACACAGGCGTGTGCAGACATTGCCACCCCCCACACACAGCAGAGGACATGATGGTCCCCTCAGCCAGTGCTGCAGGAAGCCACCACACCCAGCCAGAGGGGGCACAAGGTGACCCACTGCTGTCCTTCCACCTTGTGATCTGACTGACTTTGCACACTAGGGTTTGTTCTGGGTGCTTCTGATCCCTCTGGCTAGGAGCTGGTGCACTTAGCTGGCTCTGCATGGTCAACAGCTAGCTCTACACTGCCTTGCTCATGGTGACCCATGTAGGTAGCTGACCTCAAACAGTTCAAGGAGAGTCTGAGTCAGAAGCCCCACATCCTGGACAGCAACTGGAAGCAAACAGGGTAATTTCCATCAAAGTATTAATGTGCTATTTCAGCATCAAGGTAGGATTCCACTTTTCATATTTAACTTCCCTGATTTAAAAATGAATTAAGTAAATGAATTCATGAATTCACTGTGGGTTTCCATACATTCCTTCTTTTTAGTAAACTTTCCCTTTCTGTTCATGAAGGTGCCAGGACCCACACATTGGGGAAATCATTGCCATTCACGTCCCACTGTGGCCCCAAATCTGGTAAATCGATTAAATTTGATAATTCCTCCTTCAAGATAGATCTGATAGCCACTCCATGTCACCATTTTACTACTGTCATCCTAGCGAAGACACTTAACATCACACACTTTCATAATCATAATCCCACACACATGCACACACATGAATACACACAGACACACATGTGTAGGTTATATATGCACACATGCCTATACATATACACATAAATATATTACATTTACAGATACATACACAAATATACACACATACACATATATGTTATGCATATAGACACATGCTTCACGTGTGTATATGTATATTATCAATAGACAGATGGCTAGGCGTGGTGACTCACACCTATAATCCCAGCACTTTGGGAGGCCAAGGTGAGAGGATTACCTGAGCCCACGGGTACAAGACCAGCCTGGGCAACTTGGCAAAGACCTTATCTCTACAATAAATCAAAAACTTAGTCAGACGTGGTGGCCCACACCTGTAATTCAGGCTGAGGCAGAAGGATCGCCTGAGCCCAGCAGGTCGAGGCTGCAGTGGCCATGAGCATGCCACTGCCCTGCAGCCTGGGTGACAGAGTGAGACTCTAACTCAAAAAAAAAAAAAAAAAAAATAGACAGAAACATTGCCAAGAATGAGGAAATTCTATGTATTTTTTCTACACGCAACAAATTTTGGGATGAAATGTTTCAATGCATTGACACACAAAAAGCTGAATGCAGAACATACCGGCTGGCCGCCCCACCACCGGTGGTTGAACTTCTCCCGCCCACGCAGGTGGAAGGTAGCATCAAACACAGGGTCATACATGGAGTTGCCCACAATGCCATGAGACTCGGGGTACAGCCCCTGCGTGGAAACCAGATTTGTTGTTAAAGTAACAACAAAATAGCCCACATATATTTGTTCTGTTATACATTTTCCTAGTTCAAATGGTTGTATAGCAACATTTAATTTGCAACAGTATATGAGATATATATATATATAGCCTCTCCCGTGTCTTTCTGAACAAACATGAATAACACCTATGGAATGAATCATCAGTTATCTGAGAAACTTAATATGATCATAGGAAGTTTATTATTTGGATTTCTTAACTGTTGCAATTTAATAAGATGACAATAATTTTTATTATAATAAATTGGCCTTTAGTTTGAAATTTATACATGTGCCACCAAAGAAGCTTCTATTTCTAAACACACTTTTTCTTCTTTCCAAGTTCTATTCCTCTCCAAAACAATAATTTAAAGAACAGTATAGTGATAATAAATAAGTTATGTTTGGCTGGGCGTGGTGACTCATGCCTGTAATCCCAGCACTTTAGGAGGCTGAGGCAAGAGGACTGCCTGTGCCAGGAGTTCAAGACCAACTTGGGAAACATGGAGAGACCACACCTCTACAATAAATTTTTTTTTTAAATTAGCCAGGTGTAGTGGCGAGCACCTATAGTTTCAACTACTTGGAAGGCTAAGGTGGATAGAAGCCACTGAAGGCAACATTTTTATTGAAAAATTCAGAAAGTAAACACTGGGCCCTCTGGTATTCAAGAGAGGTTAGCATATGTGTTAAGACAGACCTGCACCTGAGAAGGGCCTTAGTATCAGAGCGGCCATCAGGTGCATTCCCCCATGCTGTAAAGGGAACAGGTGATGCAGGTAAGACGGACAGAGTTAAGCCTCTCTAAACACTGAGGACTACATTTCCAACGCCTCCCTTTAAAGTCGCCCAGGAGAAATCTGCCCTCTGAATAGACATCTCTAGAATAGAGTACTCACGGTGGCCAAAGTATACAAGTTGGGGAAGGTTTTTGTCGGGTACACCGGCCTCATGTAGGGAGAGTGTGTCCCGCAAGACCCTGGAAACAGAAACTGGAGATCAGGCCAGGAAACCAAAGGAATTCTCATTGAAATGCATTTAGACTAGGCAAAAGCATGTGTTACCTTTGTTGCTGTGCTTCAAATGGTAAGAAGCACTTAGAGCAACGAGCCCAGAAATGGATCCCCAAGCTCACAGGCTCTGATGCATTTAGAGCAAAGAACCTAGAGGCATGTCCTCAAGCCCACAGCCTCCAATGCACATTGTGGCAACAAGATCGGAGAAGAGCCCATGTTCTCTGAGGCCCTTAGGACAACAAGACAGAGACAGGGCCCAGAGCCCACAGCCTCTGCAAGCTTCTGGGAGATGCAAGGAGCTGGGAAGTACTCACTCAGCTTCTCGATGTTGGGCATGACTTTACTGCCTTTCTTCATGTAGGATGCACGGAAGCCATCCACGGAGAAGATGATCAGTGGGGGGCGCACGAACCTGCAGCGGGGCACATCAGCTCAGAAGCGCAGACACTGAGCTCTCTCCATGCCTCGCCGTTTCCCATCACTGGGGCCAGTCATTTCCAAGGAGGAGCTTCAAGGAAGCACCTCTGGATGAGCCTGGCTTCCAGCCATGTAGTTATTTGGAGGCAAGTGGAGTCCAGATGTCAAAGACCAAGGTCACAACGTGGCCAGGGACAAGACTTGACTCCAGATTTCCCCTAATGAGCTTTCTGCACTGCTGCCTATCACTTTGCAAACAAGGTTACACACCACTTTAAAAAGGGTTTGTAATTGCCTGAAATATACATTCTCCCATTTACCACCTGGAAAACTCCTGTTCATTCCTGAAAACCTGGCTCAAAATTTTTTCTTCTAAATTGCTAGTTGCTCACATTCTGAATCCCTTAAAGACATTAACTCAGATCTCTTTCGCCATTCATAGGTGCATTTTTTTTACATTATATTGTTATGATCTGTTAACATGTTTCTCTTCCTTATAGTTTCAAAGCACAATTTGTGTCTTACTTATCTATGTGAATCCATAGTACAGCTTCAATAAATATTTATCAAATACATGAATGAATATGAGATTAATAGCAGTAGCACCCCTAATGCTAGATCTAAGCACTTCTTTTTAAAAAATCCCTTTATGTTTAATTATAAAATAATTTTTAAAATAATTTAAGGTATTGAAGATCTCCAAAAAGTAAATCAATAAATAGATAGATTATTCATCTACTCAGGTAGGCTCTGATGAAATGGCCTTTTATCATATTATAAAGATAATTGGCTGGGCTCGGTGGCTCAGTCTGTAATCCCAACACTTTAGGAGGTCAAGGCGAGTGGATTGCCTGAGCCTGTAGGTTCTTGGAACCTGGGGAACTTGGCAAAATCTCATCTTTACGCTAAATTAAAAAAACATTAGCCAGGCATGGTAGCACACGCCTGTAGTTCGGCTACTTGGCAGAAGGAGCGCAGGAGCCCAGATGGTCAATGCTGGGGTGGCTGTGAGTATTCCACTGTACTCCAGGCTGAATGACAGAGTGAGACTCCAACTCAAAAAGAAATACATAAAGATTAATTATTCAATCAGACTTGAAAATACTAAATATTTATTTATTCCTAATTGTTTGAAGCTAGTTGAGCAAGTATAGGTTCAAGCTTAATTGAAGCCACCTAATAAATGACATATTTTAAATGAGTCTCATATAAAGCACCTATAACAATATCACCTAAGGACATACCATCATATTAATATCGTCAGTTATCAGGGGCTTCTATCACATAGACTTCATTTTTCTCAAAAATAACTCAACACATTTTAAACAGAAACTACTATCACCCAATTCTACAAGCCAAGGGGGTTCAGATGGTCCCTATGAAGGTCAAAATGAAGGAAAAAATAACATTTAAATAGTAACATCTAATGCCTGGATATTGTTGCCAGGCTGTGTTACCTAAAACAAAAACACATTGAAAGAACAAATACATTAATGAAAACACATCTCTTGAAGAATGTGTTTTCCACCAAGCATTCTAAGAGTCCTCAAGCTTCCAGCAGTTTCCTGGAAGGCACAGCAAGTGCCCTATATGGGCCACACTGGGGCTGAGGCCATCATGCCAGGCTGGCTGTCCTCAGCAAGGCAGGTTTCAGGTTTCCACAGATTCCAGTAAGAGTTACCAGCTTGGATGATAGTTTTTACTTCTACAATCTCCCTCTTTCATTCCCTTCACCCCCCAAAAAAGGCAGAAGCAGAACTTTAGAGCAAAATAATGTTTTAAAAAAGTCATAGTCAGAAACGCCTGCTTCCTTGGTGCTATTGAGATGCAATCTGTTAAAACTTCTCTAAAGCAGAATGTAGATATTCACACCCCAGTACATGCAAAGGTAGTGGGAGAAAATGGAAAAACAACAACCGTGGCTACTTCGAGAAATGCCTTCTAGCTTTTGACTGGTTAGTTATCCAGAAGTGCTCATAAATTTTCCTATGCAAAAGAATTTCAGCTTTACATTGTTTTTAACCATTTACTTGTCCATTTCCTATGATATTTTATCAACGATATATAAAACTTCATAATATTCTTTACACTGTCATAACACTCACCCTGCAGGGCATTCTGGAGCCTTTATCTCCTCACAGTCATCATCAACCCAGTGTGACTCTCCTGTAAGGAAAATGGGTGAATTTATTGTTGAATCTCTTTATAAATGTTATTCAGAGCCCCAAAGCTCTCAATGTCAAGACCGGTGTCCTGATACTTGCCTGTGACACATCATCTAAAAATAAGCTCTGAAATGAAGTCTAGTGTCTGACTTGTCTATAAAGTGCACCATGCATCAAGGGAAAGCTAAGTCTTAATAACCACCAAGTGGGGTGTTGTTTATTTGAGCCTTCCGAATCCAAATGGTTTGCAGATTAAAAAAAAAACAGTGGCGTCAGTGAACAGAATTCCATGTTTGTATCCCTCCAGAAATAAACTGTTTGGTCATTAGACGGAACATTCTTTTCTCCACCACTGAAGATCTCAAAGCCGTAGAAAGCATGGCACAACTTTCCTTCAGATGCTAAAAAAGGCTTAGAATACACAGAGATGACAGAGGGAAGATTTCAATGGAGAGAATATTTGCCAATAAATCTCCTCACAGTCCTTGAATCTAGAAACAAAAACAAATGTTATCTTCCACTTTTATCTCCCACCAAGATCTGAAAACATTGCCTTTCCTGAGTTTCCACTATCAAGAACAGAGAACAGAAAAGGGTTCGCATAAAACAGTGAGGTTTCCTTTGGAGAAAAGGAAAATTATCCCAAAAAAATTTTGCCTTTAATTGTTCTAAGACAAAAATCACGTCTTGAACAAAAGCAAAATTTCTGACCAATGCTGGAGAAGAATGTTCCCATGTAAAGAGCCTTGGATACCTTCCCTGGTCAGTAAAGACCCACCTCCTGGACAGGTGGGTAAATACCATGCACCTTACAACAGGGAAGTTCACCACAAAGAGGTGACCCGGTACTCACTGGGCCCTACAGAAGTGCTGGGACTAGGATTTTAAACCTGCAAAGGTCAGTATTTCATGATGAAATGACCAGTCCTAGGACATTTCTTCTTTCTTAACTTATGCTTCCAATAGCCAATGCCTTATTGGTGCAATTAATTACACAGGAAAATTAATTAAAAAGGAAAAGGGAATACAATCTTATTCAATGTCATGCTTTAAAACAAAAGCACAATTGTTTAGGTAAGGGAAGTTTTCCATTTCATTCATATGATACCATCTTGCCACAACTCAACACCCCTTGTATTTCAGAACTGACTTGCTTTTTTCCTGAAATCTGTTAAAAGAAATTGTCCTGGCCGGATGCAGTGGCTCAAGCCTGTAATCCCAGCACTTTGGGAGGCTGAGTCAAGAGGATTGCCTGAGCCCAGGGGTTCGAAACCAGCCTGGGCAACTTGGTGAGACCTCGTCTCTACAATATATCACACACACACACAAAATTAACCTGGTGTGGTATCGCGCATCTGTAGTTTCAGCTACTTGGAAGGATCACTTGAGCCCAGCAGGTTGATGCTGGAGTGGCTGTAAGCATGCCACTGCACTCCAGCCTGAGCGACAAAGTGAGACTCTGACTCAAAAAAAAAAAAATTGTCCTTAAATGTTTCATGCCAAAAATAAGGAAAAGGACTTGATTTAGAAACTAAAAAAAGTGACTTACAAACTATTAAGATCCTTGGGTCTCCCCATTAACTCCTGCAGGTAGGTGGTGTGGCAACCTACCTTTTAAAGACAAAAGCTGAATTGTGTCTACTGTCTGTAGGCTGCTGCTTATAGTTGGTTATCAGAGTAGAAGCATCATATTCACAACCAATGACAGTCAGAGCATGTGCATGTATGGCTGTGGGTGTAATAGGAGCCACTGGCGCACCCTGCCCAGAGAGCTTGGCAAACAGCTCACACCCGGTGGGTACAAAAGCCAGGCTCTCTCACCTTGAGAGACCGCCCCCCATTGCTTTTCAGAGCCAGCAGCAAAGCTGGCCATGGTGAGCCTCCACCTGAGGGCTTGTCCTTGCACACCTCCTCCCGCCCTACTAGCGCCATCCCATGTCCCCTCCCGCCTCAACTCAGTTTCTCTCAGAGCATCCTTCAATAAACTACATGTACCACACCCCTGTCTCGGACTCTGCTTCTGGAAAACGGACCTAATGCCAAGACAGAGAGTTTAGAAATGTCTTCACTGCTGGGGGGTGGCATCCAATTACACAATGTGACTTATCTCCATGCTATTTCAGATCAGTGAAGGCAGGGTGGCAAAACTAAGCTAGAAGTGTGAAACCAGGAAAGACACAACTCGTCCCCGCACCCCAAAGCACCCCCAAGGGACACGATCCCATATAACCAGGGGCTCTGGAGCCTCCACGCATCATCCCACTAATGCTGAAGCTACCCCAGAGAAGCACATACCTTTGCAGACCACGTGGTAGTTGGTGCAGCAGTCTCCCCGTGCCAGGCAGTCCTCGGAGCAGTGGCAGGCGTTCTCCTCATTCCTCACCTCTCCGCATCTGTCCTTAGTGCACTCCCAGCCTCGAGCTAAAACCCACAACAAAACACATTCGTTGCTGCACACCTCAGAGGCCACGGTGGCTGACAGCATTGCCAACAAAAAGCACTAACTCCTCTCGTCACTGGCTCTGCCATGGAATCCAAGTCAGCCCGGGGTATCTAGGGAACTTACAGGTGAGATGAATTTCTAATTTCTCCAATTGGAAGACAAGGTCACAATGCAACTGGGCTCCTTTGGAGAAACAGGATCCTGAAAGGTAAGCAAGCACCTCCACATCCTTGAAATGTCCTGAAGGACCCAACAAAAGACAGGTGTGTAAGGCTTGTAACAGGGCGTCTGTTGCAGGAATGGGCCCCCTAGTGTGGTTCTTTTACTTTCTGATTCAGCTTTGCTCTGCGTTGGACCAGCAGGATTTAAATACAAATGACAGCGCAACTAGGTGGTCTCCTTCTGCTACAAGATGCACCTGGAGGCTGAAGTCCCAAACAAATATGAGGAGAAGGGCCATTAAAACACCCGAGTCCAACCACTGACCACAGCAAGGCCCTGCCCATGAGGGTGGGTCAGAGGCCCACCTTTCTAGGAGGCCAGAATATGAATTACAGATTACTCCCTTGAGGGAGAGCTCCGAGCTCAACCCTCTGAGAAGATACCCTCAGAGAAGCAACCTTCTCATTTTAAAGAGAGTGCTGTGTGTGTTTTGTTTTCCTGTTTCAGCCTCTAGACTGTAAGCAGGAAAAGCACATTTCTCTTTCCACCCTGACCTCTCCAGGGGCAGACTGCGAGGTTGTGAGATGTGATGACCTGCCTGGCACATGCCGGGTGTCAGCAGGTATTTACTAAGTCTCACTGGAAATGACCATGGAAATAAAATATGACTCTCTAAATTCAGGACTGCTACATTGAGAATTTTCATGGTTGGTTCATGTATTCATGTACTCTTTCTACCCTGTTTTCCATGTTCAAGGTGCTGGGTGTAGTGAGGAAAGATGATGTCCCTGTCTTCATGGAGCTCACAACCCACTGGGAACGGACGGAACATAACAAGTAGACCAGCAGGCAGGATGGCCCCAGCCATCACTGGCCGTGGGGATGGAAGCAACAAGGGTGCTGACCGAGGGTGGGACAGGGCCCAGGAAGTAAGAAAGGCATCACTGAGCTAAAGGACACATGAACATTTCAGACCTTTTACATGTATCATAAATGGAAAGTGATGATTTTCAGGTGCAATGCAGCTTCTTAGTAACAAGTCTACCAAGAGGAATAACTGCCAGGTGGCTACACAAATGAAGAGATATTAGCTGCCGTGCATAAGTGCTGCCCAGAAAACCATGCAACTACTATTCAATTTTTATTATTTTAGAATTACCTTTGTGTCCTGGTTCTGTTCTCTGATTTTTTGGCATCCCTGTCTCTACTCCCATCTCTTCCCAAGCTGATTAAGTGCTTGAAATTCCTTGGAATTCCTATTTCCAGTGAGGAGTAGTTTTCTAAGGTTGTTTTGACTGATAGAGTTTGTGGGGTTTTTTGTTTTTTTTTCTTTCCAATTCAAGGATGTTTCTGCCCAACAGTACACTTTTTTATGTCCTCTAATTCCATAGGAAAATTTCTGCATGTGGCTTTGCTTAGAGGCATGGGATAGCCCATGAGGAATCTCAAGAGGCCTGCCTGAAACACTGGGCTCTGAAATAGACTGGGTGGGATGACAAGGCCTCAAGGTGTTTTTCTCAACTCATGGGCCTTCATCCAGAAGACTCTGTATTCTAATAACTGCCCCAGTGCATTTACAAAAGAACATCACTACTAAGAAGCTACATTTGTTGAGAAACTACTGACCTTGTGTTAGAATGAAATTCTAACAATTCAAGCCGGGCTCAGTGGCTCAGCCTGTAATCCCGAGCCTTGGGAGGCTGAGGTGAGTGGATTGCCTGAGCCCGAAGGTTCGAGACCCACCTGGGCAACTTGGCGAGACCTCATCTCTACATAATCAAAAATTAGCCGGGCGTGTAGCGCGC